GTTCTTTGTCTCGCCGATGTAATGGCTGGACAGTCTGCTCAAGGGATCTTATAAACCACGCCCTGCGTTTTTTCTTTCGGAGGGCGATCTTTTGGGTGGGGCATGAGTAACCCAAGCGTGGACATCGGCTTGTGGGCCACGTTGATTCCTTCTTTGGCTAGCACGTGTGCAAGCGCCTCGCTTGTTCCTTTGATGTAGGGTACGCAGATGCCCGAGGTTGAGCGTGGCTGCGTACATGCTTGTGGTTGCTGGTGTCTGTGATCTCGAGCTTTACCAACAATGCTTTACCAACAGTGTATGTGAATGGGCTTCGCCATATTCGTGAAAGAAGAAAAGTAGAGAGATGCGCCACATACCTGAGAGAAGAAAAAGAAGGCCGAAAAACGCCGCTCCTCAACGGCCATAGCCGCCCCTGACGAAGAATAAAGTCGGTTCGAAACGTAGGGCTCCTACATATTTAGGAATTGGTTGGTTGCCATATTTTAATTATTGAAGATAAACTTGCATTTTTGGAGCGACCTCCCCCACACTCCTCACCACCGTTTCCCCCTCCACCGTTTAAAATGGCCGCTGCTCGAACTTGACAAGCCCACCAACGCCTCAGCCGACTGATCTTTCCGACGACCAGTGACAACTGTCACTGCTTAGCTGCAGAAATAACACGTGACACAGGCCGGGCGAAATTATACATACCACGGCGCCCATGTCACAAATAACGAAGACGTCCGCTTTCGGCACCGTCACATACCTTTCGGCCTCCTCGAAGCGGTGGGGCACGGACAGCGATTGCCAGCGGTGAAGTTCAGATACCTGGTACGACTTTAATGAACACAGAGGTAACAAACTATCACTTGCACGGTCGTTGCCTAATCTCTTCTTGCTTTATTGCACGGGAAAATGCCGGCGGAATGCCGTGTTAAAAGGTAAACAATCATTGGCTGCAGAATGAACAGACCTAACCTTGCATCTGCCTCCGGCTTTTCTGTCGTTCTTTTACTCGTTCTTCCTCTCACAATCACAGATGTCAGCGCTTACGATTTACCACGCTCCACAGTCCCGGCTTTGTATCCCTGATCTACGCGAGGTAGAAGCGTTCGAGCCGTCACGATCCCGTGTAAACAACCGACGCACCCGAACAGATCCAACTCGACGATACGACCATGGCCCGACCGGCCCGCCGACCTCTCCAACCTTGCCGCGCATGCGCACTGCCAATTTAGAAGGAAATCACATGGGCCGTTCTGTCAACTTCCGGAAAGATCTGTGAAATCCCACAGAGCCTGTTCGGCGGGGCTTGAGGTGCTCCGTGGAGCGGGCGTTGCCAGAGATGTACGAACGGAATATGACCAGCTCGAGCAAGATCTGTGAGCGGAATATGCGTGCTCCAAATGGAGCGCTTTTGGAGTGCTCAAGATCTGCGAGCGGAATTCACCATTACTTAAGGGGAGACACCCCCCGGGAGGGTCAACTTTTGAACCCTTGGCTTAAAATTAATGAAATTTACAGGGTAGGCTGGTGGTCATGCTAGAGGGTGCATAACAAAATTTTAGGTCTGTCGGTTAATTGGGAAGGAAATTGGGACAGCTTCTATCAGCAACACCCCTACACTGTTTAGTTAATCTATCGTCAGAAAACTATCACAATATTAAAGATTTTTATTCGCTAGATATGTAGCAGAATGCCTAGGAGGTGTGCCTATGGAAAGGTTTTTGTAAAAAGTAATTGATTTCTATCAATTTTCTCTTCTGCGAAATTGGTCAACTTTTTGGTCTTCTGTGTCTCCGACAAAATGTCAACATTTTTCATAGAAGACATCCGTAAAGTGACAAACAAACTCCATAGGCGCATTCCTTATTAAATTTCAGTCAGGAAAAGTGAAGAACGAGCCTTGCCTGTATTTCCATTCTCAAACGATAGATTGACTAAAATGGAATTTATACAAAAAAAGTGGAACGGAGAAAAATCTGTTCAAAGTGCTCCAAACCCTACCTTTCCTTTAGCTTTGGTGGACAGAAAATAATTTATAAAAAAATAACTATGCAGTGTAAACTAGTGAAAATTTCTGGGAATACTCTCTGGATGTAGATGAATGTAAATATGCAATTTTTCAAAATCAATGTTTTTTGAAGAATCTTTTTTTCTCCGGGTAGTGTCCCCCCTTAAATAGATCTGAGCTACTCCGGCAGGTCGTGTCATGTGATAATACAGATAAAGCGATGTTGGACATGGGTAGGTTTCCGAACGCAAACATACAAAACCCTTACCCTGGAGTAAGATCGAGTAAATTTTGGAACACGCCAAAGGATATGTGGGCCCAGCAAAACAGACTGTCAGCATTGGCAGGTGGCGTACGACGTCGTCTGATGAGCACCAAGGTCCCCAAAAAGTGGACGAGGCGAGGAGGAAAATCGTGATGTTGGCTCGGTGGTATTCAGACAGACGTCAGACTGCCGGACGCTCGTGTCGCCTCACGATTTCTGAAGTGTCCTGTTTGGACAGGCCTTCACTCCTCACCTAGCCCTCTGGTCACATGACCTCCCCTTTAACCAATCAGCATCGAGCATTTCACTCCTCCACTCCCACCCATCAACCAATCGGTGTCGAGCCTCGCGGCCATGCTTTTGTCCAGGCTTCACTTTTCGGCTTCATGAAATGCCAGACACCTACACTTCGTTCCACCTTAAATCCAGACGCCGCAGATGCTACAAGCTGATGGGATCAATTGAACACAGCAAAAGTGCACCATCATGGTATTCATCATGTTTCCGTATGTGTTCCACCATCACTCAACCAATCATAGACAGAAAAGGCCTTTGACTTCCGTTTTTGATGCTGTCTGATTAGCTCATATCGTCGGCTGCATCTGGACTTAAGGGGGGTCATGGGCCTAAGTTCTAAAATTTTTCGAAAAATTCATTTTTCAATTTTGAAGTTTTCAGTTTTAGAAACTAATTATACACCCTTACACTACATTTCATAACCCTGCGCCGAATAGTTATGTTGATATAAAATATTTTCAACGCATTGTGGGCTGTAACAAAGTAAAGGAGTTAAATGTTAGAATGCATTTTTCTCAGTTCCGCTTTTTGCTGCAAATTTCATACGAAGGAATCTTTTGTTCGAAGATAAAATTATTCTGATACCACAATCAAGATGTTTTTTAACTGAAATTTACTGGGGAATTGGGCTATCTACTTTATTTTGTTTTAAGTTAAGGTCCTCATTGAGAAAATCCAGGTTTTTGAAAATTTGACATAGGACAGATATACATCTCATATTTTGAGGTAATCACTCTTCCTGAAATGTTTACATCGGAGTTATAGAAACTAGATAACCCAAAGTCCCACATCCCCCACTTTAAATTAAGCAGTTGAAATGATGCTTAATAGCTTCATTTGCATATCATAGATTTCTTAACGAAGAGTGAGTTATCCTCTTATGCAGGTATGTAAAGTTGTCCTAGAGAGCTGAAAGTTTGCACAGCACACTTGCATCTAAAGTTAAATTTCCCTTGCAAATTTCATTTCGATCACTTCGATCAGTCGACCACCAATTGTCACGACTGTTTGCGGAAAGTCGCCAACGGCAAATGAAGAGAAGCGGAAGCTTTAATCAAGAAATAAAGTAATAGTCTCATCTTTCACCGTGTTTGTTGGCACGTTTTATGCCCAAAAAGCAAAACACAAAAACCGCGTCACCAGACTCTGTTTGTCTGTGTATTTTGAAGTGTTTTGTTGAGAACTGCAGTCCCACTAGGAAACAAGTTTCCTTGTCCCCGTGTCCTGCGTCATGTCCGCCAGGTGGGACGGCAGACTCCGACGGCGGACTCTGTTGTCTGTCGCTTGCTGTCGTGTGTCGCTGTCGTTTGTTGCTGTCTGTCGCTTTAGTGGGACGCGGCTATTATGGTGGCGAGGGGCAACGAAGCAAGAATGACTACATCCCTTTCAGCATCATTTGCTTATATCCCGCCATAGATAACTAGCTGCATCTATACCGAGGCCATCATTGATCCCAACACTACTATTACTAGGAGTGAGCTATCTTTCGGTGTCTACAAAAATATAGCGAATCAAGCCAGAAATAGGGGTGGGCAATCTTTCGGGGGTGGGGCATCTCTCGGGATTTTACGGTAGTTTACAGTGTTCCTTACATTTGGAGATGCTTGTCTGTGATGTATCTCCAAAAGACTGCTTTTCTAACTAGTAAATGTTTCTTCAAGACCAAAAGGAAATTTTATCTCGGGATGAAGCAAAACCAATGTGGTAATCTGGCAACACAGTATGCAGTACTGCAAGAAACGGCTGTAGTGTAAACTGGGGGTCTTCACTTGCTTGCCTTGGATGACCCATATCAGCTCGGGCCAGGGTTGGTGCTCCTCGTACCCCTCGTGGACGGTGCAGATTGCCACAAACGTCATCTTCATCCCTCTTGAATTTGATCCAAAGGAGTACTGGTCCTATCTTTCTCGTTTTCCAGTGCCATATTTTCATTTATGAAAAAAAAAAAACGAACTTTGCAGCATGTGCAACATATTTTTGCTTATTTCAATAACATTTCTTAAAGTAAAAAAGCAAAAATCTATCTTGTCAGAAACAGAACCAGTCTGCCACCTTTTTTGAGACTGTTGACACTCATACGGACGTTAGCACACGACGAAAGCCTACAAGCTGCTTTCTGATTATGTCAATACCCATATAATTGTCAGTGTGTAGCATCGCCTAAAAGCGCTTACTACTGGTGTTGAGATGATGCTTAAGTGCGAACTGCGAGCTGATATCCATGAAGCATAACAGCAGAGGCCAGCTCGAGAAATGCAGGTCTATATTTGTTTTACAAACTGTTTAGTCTTCCCTCAAACTCTTTATGACAACTGTCTTCTGCTATATTTGAAGTCAGCATATTTCAAGATCCAAGCTCATAGCATGGGTGGTCAGAGACAAAATGTAGTGCAGAATGAGGTGGTCTGGATCGCTTTTACATTTTTGTTTCTCTGCCTACAGGAGAAGAGTCGGTGGGTAGCTGAGGTGACAGACTCCCCCAAGCCTCCCCCATGCAGGGTGACACTCACCCTTCCAGTGCTCAACAATGCCAGGCTGGCCCTGTTTCCCATCAGCGGCAAGGAGAAAGCAGACACTGTGCTGGTAAGGTTGTGCAAAGTGTTGCAAAGTATAGAGCCAGAAATCAGACAGTATCCTTGGGGAAGGCTGCATGAGTTGCTACAAAGTATTGAGCCAGGAACTGGGATGGTATCCTCAGGGATGGCTGTGTGATGTGTGACAAAATATAGAGTCTAAAACCAAGATGGTGTACCACTCGGAGATGGTTCTGTAACATGTTATGAAGTACCAAGCCAGGAACTGGGATGGTACCTTCGGGAAAGTTGTGCAAGGTTTGCGAAGTGTAGAGCCAGGAACCAGGGTGGTACACACGAGATAGTTGTGTAACGTGTTACAAAGTACCAAAGCCAGGAACCGGGATGGTACCCCCAGGAAAGTTGTGTAAGGTTTATAAAATATAGTGCCGGGAACCAGGATGGTACCCCCAGGAAAGTTAATTAAGGTTTACAAAGTATAGAGCTGGGAACTGGGATGCATAGTCAGGGATGGTTATGTAACATGTTACGAGGTGTCAAGCCAGGAACCGGGATGGTACCCCCTGCACATGATGTTTGGTGTTAGAGTATCGAGCCCGAACTAGGGGTCAGTACCTTCCAGTGTTGCGGAGTTGCCACTCCGGAGTTGGAATGATTCCAGAATCATTCCGCATTTTCGCGACCCCGGAATGGAATGGGAATGGAATGGCGGCAACGTTGAGGGTGATGGAATGGGAATAGAATTAGGTGCCTTTTGCTCGGAATGGAATGGGAATGGAATGGGCACGGTTCTTCCTTTTTTTTTTTTTATTGTTTACGGTTAGCTAAACTGAGCTAGTCAGCGAGTTGTTTGCTCAGAAATAAAATGAGCGGGAAACTTCTTACCCGCCGTGGAGCCCTAACAGATTTATACGGCAAAAAAATGCAATACAAAAAACAAGCGTCAAAGCAAAGAGGAAAAGGGGGTAACGTGGCGCCTTTCACAGACGCGCAGGCAGGCGTCGAGCTTCGATGGCGTTACACGAGAGCGAAACAAGAAACCAAGCACCAAGCAAAAGAAAAGGGAGCGGCAAAGAAAGAAACCGCCATGCACAACTCCTCATCATCCTTCTTGTCATGCTTTTTTTGTTGTTGTTGCGACGGTTTGTAGAATGCACGCGTGCGCACAGACTGAGATCTGGGAGCGGAAGCGGCTCATAACTCGCAGAGCTCTGAGAACTCGATCGTTGACTCGGGCGCCTTCGAAAGATGATCAGTTATCGTTTTCTTATAGTTCGAGGCACGTTGTTTAGCAGGCAGCCAACCCTGCTGCCTTCCATGTTCATTCGTGCGCACTCTTTTGAAGTGCGAAATATGGGTTTGCTTCGGCATTAAAACAAAGCGAGATTCACTTCCCTCTTCCCCTCTTGCGCTTTGCTCCGAGGCTTGTTTTTTTATACTGCATTTGTAGTGTAAGTCCGCCTTTTACTTTGTCTTTGTTCCGATGCTTGTTTTCTGTGTTGTATGTTTTAGTGGGTTGGGGTTACAAGCAAGTTAGCGGATTCCCGCTCATTTCCTTTGACTTTAGTCTCTGCATACTTCGTTTCATCTTGCGATGGACCGCTGCGGACGCTACGAGTCACCCTAGGCAATCTAGCACCATGAGCGGGACTGCAGGTTCACGCGACACTCAGAAAGCACCGGATTGGTTACGATGGCTCTCGTGCTGTCTGTTGAGGTCCATCGTAAGGTGAAGTAGACTATCATCACCGCTCGTGGTGTGATCGAACTGACTAGACCTGCAGAAAGATTGTCCCGCGCTAGACGAGGCACGACCGTTGCTGTGAGGGCAACTGAGAAGGAGAGCTGGGTGCTAGCTGCCACTGAGGTTTTGGCTTCCGCGCGTCTCGGCTGTCCGGTCTGCATTCGTGCTCCTTGTCCTGGACCCTATTTGAGGCGGTGAGAAGTCAGTTGGACGGTGTTGTTGAGGAAACACAGGGAATGTCAATTCGAACGGTGCAGTTTTACCCCATTAATTGTATCTTGATGCGAAGAGCTTTGTCAACACTGACTTCCCGACCCGTCGCCACAACGCGAACAACCGACACCGAGGTAGAAGAATGAATTGGTTGGTACCATCTGCTGCCTGAACCCGCCACTCGATTAGCGCAAAGAGGAACATCACAATTCGGACGAGAAGACAATATAAATACAGATCGAGTCATGGCATCGTAGAAAACACTTTTCTACTTGAGTCGCGAAGAAAATAAACAAGCTGCACGCTGAAAGTTGTGCAACGAAACTATAGACCTTTTCTGCAAGTGCACCGCCATCTTGAATTGACGTCACTTCCAGTATGGGCGAAAACATTGTTTCGTCTTTGCCACGCCAAAAGAAGGCATTTAGGATATAAGCGTAACCGTCACACTTTCTCGTTTTGCCTCCACTTTATTTTTTTACTATTTGCAGGTTGAAACGTTGGATTATTTTTTCGTCGCCCATACCGGATATGCCTATTAGGTGGCTGGGGACGAGAGTGCACAGAAAAGGTTTATGCACGGTGCAGTCGGCGTATATCATCGAACTTTATTCGCCATCTGAAGAGGAAACAGGAGAATGAGTATGCAAAGGGTGGAAAAGGGCAGGCGAACCAGCCAAAAATTGAATTGAATATGATAACAAATATCGAGATTCGTAAAGCAAACGTGAATTTATGCGTTTTAAAGCAGGTTTCGTGACATGGTCTATACGGTCCCTTGTGCTGCGCCGCAGAGGTTGCATTTTGTAAGAGGATGTGTTCTTGCCGCTGTGCACGGAGTCGCTTCCAGCAGTGTACTAGCCGTGTTGCTGTATTTGAAGAATACAGTAATATAGCTAATTTCTGCGCCATGCACGAACTGGATATTTTTATGGTCTTATCAAACGAACACGCTGGCCGCGTATGTTCTAAAAGTCAAATGCAAAAAGTTAGAAAATAGAAAAGAAAATCAGTGGATTCAAGTTTTGTTGTTTGTTGCGAGCCACGTGGTCGCGAGACCGATGTCCTAAAGAAGCATTGACATATCAAGGGGCTTTCTCAATGTTTGCAGTACATTGTAAATAAACACCTTGTGGTTCCACCAGCGGTCCACTTAGTAAAATCAGTGCTTTTTTGGGGAATTTCGCATTTTTTTTTGCAATTGTCTCTGCATTTGATAATGCCAGCTTTATGCTGCTTATGCCGGCATCAAAATGTAGCTGTCAAGTGCCAATTTTTACGTTTAGGAATTAAAGGAATGGAATGGAACGATTCAGCCACTCCAGGAGTGGGAATGGGCCCAGTGTCTCCATTCCTAGGAATTGAAAGGAATTGAATTATCGAAAACTCTAATTCCCCGGCATGGAATTGGAATGGAATGGGGGTGCCTATTCCGCAACACAGGTACCTTCTGAGAAGGCTGTATTATATGTTACGATGTATCAAGCCAGGAACTGGGATGGTATCCCAGGAAAGTTGTGCGAGGTTTACAAAGTGTAGAGCCAGGAACCAGGATGCTACATTCGGAGATACAGTGTAGACCGCATATAACGTATGTCTCGGGAGTCGCGAAAATCCACACTATAAGCGGTACCGCGCTATAACCAAAACATCAATTTTTCAGGACAAAATACATGCCATGAGACAACTTACCTTTGTAAAACAATTTATTTTATGTTAGATGAAAAATAAACCTTAGTTTGAGGAAAGTCTATTTCACCAGACTAGTACAGTTCTGTCTCAAGTGTGTCACACATTTTGCAAGAAATTAGCGGCTTTTGCCTGGCGCAGCCTTTTAACGGCGTCGCGGGTTGCGGACGGACGTTGCGAGCATTCAGGATTGCTAACCCTAATCACTTTTCTCCGGAGATGAAAACGCGTGAAAATTCGCATCCTTCATACGGTACACGCCAGGAATACCTTGAACTTGAGCACACGCATGAAATGCACCAAATAAGAAATCCGGGCGATGTTCGAGGACACAAATGCTTAGAAATCGCCACTGTAGTCGAAGTAAAAAAACACGACGACACGGGCGTTTCTGCCGTCTTGAGAGCGCCGCCACGACATCGCCGCACGCGTAGGTGGATGTTCCCTTCTAGTATGTGCTGGGTTATCATAGCGACACACAACGAAAATTCACAGTCAAGGATAGCGCTTTTACGCAGAACGATGAGATGAACGCCGTCTACGACGACGATCACAACCGACGCCATGTTCGCGGAATAGAAGCAGCCGGCCCGCGACCGGCATGCAACGCGCGCGAACACTTCTCCTCGATCTGCGATTGGTCTGTCATTGCGGTTGTTTGTTTCTTTGTTTCCAACGCAGCGGAGGGACGCACGCACGTGAACGACTCGTGCGTCCCTCCGTCGCTATGGCAACTGAAGCAACTGAAGCCTCTCTCTTTGCTTCTCCCCGCTTTTTCGAGCAACCTCCGAGCAACCACAGGGAAGCGAGCTCGCTGCTTCGGTCGTCGGCGCGGTCGGCGGGCTGTGCCAAAAACCGCACTATAACCGGTATTTCCCTTCGCGCGCCTGCATTTTAAGCGGTATGTAATTACATGGAGTTCTATGGGAGGTGAACCGGTGGTTTAAAAAACCGCGTTATACCCGGTCCTGCACCATAAGCGGTTACGTTGTAAGTGGTCTATACTGTAGTTGTGTAACATGTTACAAAGTATCAAAGCCAGGAACCGGAATGGTACCCCCAGGAAAGTTGTGTAAGGTTTATAAAACATAGCGTCGGGAACTGGGATGGTACCCCCAGGAAAGTTAATTAAGGTTTACAAAATATAGAGCCGAGAACTGGGATGGCATAGTCAGGGATGGTTATGTAACATGTTATGAGGTATCAAGCCAGGAACCGGGATGATACCCCCTGCACTTGCTGTTTGGTGTTAGAGTATCGAGCCAGAACTGGGTCAGTATCTTCTGAGAAGGCTGTATTACATGTTACGATGTATCAAGCCAGGAACTGGGATGGTACCCCAGGAAAGTTGTGTAAGGTTTACAAAATATAGAGCCAAGAACTGGGATGGTATACTTGGGGATGGTAATGGAACGTGTTATGAGGTATCAAGCCAGGAACCGGGATGGTACACTCTGAGATAGTTGTGTAACATGTTACAAGTATCAAAGCCAGGAATCGGGATGGTACCCCAGGAAAGCTGTGTAAGGTTTACAAAATATAGAGCCAAGAACTGGGATGGCATACTTGGGGATGGTTATGGAACATGTTATGAGGTATCAAGCCAGAAACCGGGATGGTACACTCGGAGATAGTTGTGTAACGTGTTACAAAGTATCAAAGCCAGGAATCGGGATGGTACCCCAGGAAAGTTGTGTAAGGTTTACAAAATATAGAGCCAAGAACTGGGATTCTTGGGGATGCTTGGGGATGGTTATGGAATATGTTATGAAGTATCAAGCCAGGAACTGGGATGGTACACTCGGAGATAGTTGTGTAACATGTTACAAAGTATCAAAGCCAGGAATCGGGATGGTACCCCAGGAAAGTTGTGTAAGGTTTACAAAATATAGAGCCAAGAACTGGGATGGCACACTTGGGGATGGTTATGGAACATGTTATGAGGTATCAAGCCAGGAACCGGGATGGTACACTCGGAGATAGTTGCGTAACATGGTTATAAAGTATTAAAGCCAGGAATCGGGATGGTACCCCAGGAAAGTTGTGTAAGGTTTACAAAATATAGAGCCAAGAACTGGGATGGCATACTTGGGGATGGTTATGGAACATGTTATGAGGTATCAAGCCAGGAACCGGGATGGTACACTCGGAGATTGTTGCGTAACATGGTTACAAAGTATCAAAGCCAGGAATTGGGATGGTACCCCAGGAAACTTGTGTAAGGTTTACAAAATATAGAGCCAAGAACTGGGATGGCATACTTGGGGATGGTTATGAAACATGTTATGAGGTATCAAGCCAGGAACCGGGATGGTACACTCGGAGATAGTTGCGTAACATGTTACAAAGTATCAAAGCCAGGAATCGGGATGGTACCCCTGGAAAGTTGTGTAAGGTTTAAAAAATATAGACCCAAGAACTGGGATGGCATACTTGGTGATGGTTATGGAACATGTTATGAGGTATCAAGCCAGGAACCGGGATGGTACACTCGGAGATAGTTGCGTAACATGTTACAAAGTATCAAAGCCAGGAATCAGGATGGTACCCCAGGAAAGTTGTGTAAGCTTTACAAAATATAGAGCAAAGAACTGGGATGGTATACTTGGGGATGGTTTTGGAACATGTTATGAGGTATCAAGCCAGGAACCGGGATGGTACACTCAGAGATAGTTGTGTAACATGTTACAAAGTATCAAAGCCAGGAATTGGGATGGTACCCGAGGAAAGTTGTGTAAGTTTGACAAAATATAGAGCCAAGAACTGGGATGGCATACTTGGGGATGGTTATGGAACATGTTATGAGGTATCAAGCCAGAAACCGGGATGGTACACTCAGAGATAGTTGCGTAACACGTTACAGAGTATCAAAGCCAGGAATTGGGATGGTACCCCAGGAAAGTTGTGTAAGGTTGACTAAATATAGAGCCAAGAACTGGGATGGCATACTTGGGGATGGTTATGGAACATGTTATGAGGTATCAAGCCAGAAACCGGGATGGTACACTCAGAGATAGTTGCGTAACACGTTACAGAGTATCAAAGCCAGGAATCGGGATGGTATTCCAGGAAAGTTGTGTAAGGTTGACAAAATATTGAGCCAAGAACTGGGATGGCATACTTGGGGATGGCTATGGAACATGTTATGAGGTATCAAGCCAGGAACCGGGATGGTACGCTTGGAGATAGTTGTGTAACATGTTACAAAGTATCAAAGCCAGGAATCGGGATGGTATTCCAGGAAAGTTGTGTAAGGTTGACAAAATATTGAGCCAAGAACTGGGATGGCATACTTGGGGATGGCTATGGAACATGTTATGAGGTATCAAGCCAGGAACCGGGATGGTACGCTTGGAGATAGTTGTGTAACATGTTACAAAGTATCAAAGCCAGGAATCGGGATGGTATTCCAGGAAAGTTGTGTAAGGTTGACAAAATATTGAGCCAAGAACTGGGATGGCATACTTGGGGATGGCTATGGAACATGTTATGAGGTATCAAGCCAGGAACCGGGATGGTACGCTTGGAGATAGTTGTGTAACATGTTACAAAGTATCAAAGCCAGGAATCGGGATGGTATTCCAGGAAAGTTGTGTAAGGTTGACAAAATATTGAGCCAAGAACTGGGATGGCATACTTGGGGATGGCTATGGAACATGTTATGAGGTATCAAGCCAGGAACCGGGATGGTACGCTTGGAGATAGTTGTGTAACATGTTACAAAGTATCAAAGCCAGGAATCGGGATGGTATTCCAGGAAAGTTGTGTAAGGTTGACAAAATATTGAGCCAAGAACTGGGATGGCATACTTGGGGATGGCTATGGAACATGTTATGAGGTATCAAGCCAGGAACCGGGATGGTACACTCGGAGTTAGCTGTGTAACATGTTACAAAGTATCAAAGCCAGGAATCGGTATGGTACCCCAGGAAAGTTGTGTGAGGTTTACAAAATATAGAGCCGGGAACTGCGATGGCATACTCGGGGATGGCTATGTAACGTGTTATGAATAGGGTTCCGCTTTTTCGCTTTTTGTTTTTTCAAAATTCGGCATACTTTTTTCGGTGTTTATTTTAAAGTAAAATTTTTGTTTTTTTTCTGTGTATATTTAGGCCCACAAAGGTTTACCATCTTTTTTTCAGTGAATATAAAATGAACACCAACGGACTCAGGATTAGATGATCATTGTAGCTCTGATATTTCTGATCACTGAAAGAATAACGGCAGAGATACATTGAAAAAGAAATGGACACGTTTGGCACATGTGTGCAACAGTAAATGAAACAAGAAAAAAAATACAGAAGTACAAACAAGTCAAATATGAAGCCTATGCCCAAAAAACATGGAACTTCACCCTCTGTACATCAGGATAACGTGATCTTATTATAGTACACACACATGTACTTTCCCAGGTTCTCCTCGTTGATCCGCACTCTTTCTTTTCTGTTAATATGACCCTGGGCTTTGAGAATGCCCTCTCAACGCTAACACGACACTGGCAGGCTGAGGAGATAAAGTGTGCCTGAGTTGAAATCAACTAATTGCGACCGCCAAAAGAGACACGGTGCGACACTTTGATGCACAACACAACATGCAGAACTTGCATCAAGTCAGTCTTCCTTACAACGAGTTTGAAAATACGCTCATACATGGTGAAGTCATGGGGAATTTCGGACTTCACGTTTTGATCGATGATGCGCACATTAAACCATAACGTCGTGATGGCATCCCTGTATCCCCTATCTTTGGACATGTTTTGACAGACACTGTCGTTCCACTTTTTCGCCATGGCTCGGCAGTATGACTGGAAGGTCAAAGTGGCTTTTTTTGGTTAACACTGAATTTTAGAAAATGAATTCGACAAACCTTTATCGGTTTTTATCGGTTCATATCGAAAACGCCGAACCTACAAACTGACCTTCTTCGGTTAAAACCAAATTTCCGAAAATGGATTCGGCATACTTTTATCGGTTTAAACCGAAAACTCCGGACCCTCGTTATGAGGTATCAAGCCAGGAACCGGGATGGTACACTCGGAGATGGTTGTGTAACATCTTACAAAGTATCAAAGCCAGGAACTGGGATGGTACCTCAGGAAAGTTATGTAAGGTTTACAAAATATAGAGCAGGAAACTGCGATGGCATACTCTGGGATGGTTATGTAACATGTTATGAGGTATCAAGCCAGGAGCTGGTACAATACACTTGGAGATGGTTGTGTAACATGTTACAAAGTATCAAGCCAGGAACCAGGTTGGTACCCCAGGAAAGTTGTGTAAGGTTTACAAAATATACAGCTGAGAACTGGGATGGCACACTCGGAGATGGTTATGTACCATGTTATGAGGTATCAAGCCAGCAACCGGGGCGATACATTCGGAGATGGTTGTGTAACATGTTACAAAGTATCAAAGCCAGGAACCGGGATGGTACCCCAGGGAAGTTGTGTAAGTTTTACAAGATGCATATAGAGCCGGGAACTGGGATGGCATGGTCAGAGATGGTTATGTAACATGTTATCAGGTATCAAGCCAGGAACCGGGATGGTACGCCTGCAATTGATGTTTGGTGCTAGAGTATCGAGCCAGAATTGAGTCAGTACCTTCTGAGAAGACTGTATTATCTGTTACGATGTATCAAGCCAGGAACTGGGATGGTACCTCCAGCAAGGTTGTGAAAGCTGTTACAAAGCATTGAGCCAAGCCAGTATGGTACCAGCAAAGGAAGGTTGTGCAAGTAAGGAGGGTACCCTCTGGGGACGTTCTGTAAGTATCAAACCAAGAACAGGTATAACACCTTCCAGGTGTGTTCTGACAAAGTATTGGGCCAAGAACGAGGAAGGTTGTGTAAGCTCTTGCGAAGCATTGAGCCGAAAACCGGGATGGTACCTGCTAGGAAGGATGTGTAAGGCGTTGCGAAATATTGAGGGAGGAACTGGAATGGTACCCTTCAGAGAGATTGCGTTAGCTATTACAAAGTATTAATCCAAGAACTGCGATGGTACCCTCTAGGAAGGTTGTGTTCGGCATTTCAAAGCATCGAGCCAGGAACTGGAATGGTGCCCTCCCAGAAGGTTGCAAAATCTTTTGCAAAATATTGAGCTAAGAACTGGGATGGTCTTTATACACCACTTTGGAAAAGACGTAGACATCCTATCCTGGAGAGCACTGTTGTTCCTGTAACAATGGAACTGTGTTTTTTGTGCCTTTGAAAAGGAGTTTTGGGATGTCATTAAAATCCCTTCAAAGAACTGAAACTGCTGAATTTTTTGGGAAACATTTATACTTTTTTTATTGTCATCCTCACACATGCAGTATGGCTGTGCCACGGAGTTTCAATGTTGGTGTCTGGCTCTTTGACAGAAAGTGCTTCACCCTGAAGCTGGGGAGGCCCTTCTTCCAGCGGCACTGGTCAAGCCATCCAAGGGGGATGTTGTCTGGCTGCTCGACAGCGGAGCGGCCAGCCTTCTGCCCAAGTGATACCGTCGGCTCGACAGTTTTTCCCGCAAATGGCGCCAAGCTCCCTTGACAAGTGCCGCACATGGAATGTTGCTCAGGTCTGAAGCTGGCTCAGGGGAGCATCTTCATGGTGGTCAGCTTTCCATTATGTTTACTGCATCAGTACTCTTACTGATGAATTATTGGAAACTGTTAAAACAAGCATTAGTTAAAAAAGAAGAAAAAATGCATGGGGTTTGTATTGTGTACTAAAATGTGAATATATAATAAACAAAAAATTATGGTAAACTTGCAATACTTGTTCAGACATTCAAGTTTTTCAGTGATGCAGCCAAGATTGGATTTGTTTTGTAAAATAACTATCCTACGGAGACGTTAATTATAGGGGTGTGCGAATATTCGAAACTTCGAATACTTCGCGGATAATGCTTGCTATTCAATTCGATTCGCTTCACACTTTCGCTCTTCGAAGTATTCGAGTTCTTGGAATACTTCGGAAACAATGAATAATGCGGAACTCGGCGATTGGTGTCAACTCGCGGTCGAGTTCCCTGTTTGTTTTTGGACTGCGCAATATGGTTTTGAGCTTGGCAAACCCAAAAAGCCAACCTAAGTTCTTTTTTTTTTTTTTTTTTTTTTATATATGAAGCAGTGGAAAGTTATTTGCGGTAGCATGATCTGTTCTCTGCTTGCCATGATGTCTGGATTCCGGAGTTGGCGAAGTGGTCGCGACGCAAACGCTGCGATAGATTTGATGAAGTTTGCAACGGCATGTGCATCGTCGTGAACACAAACGCTACGGACCACTCTCACTACTATGGATTCGGATATGGATGTACGGCTGACTTCGGCTAGCAGCGATATCTGGCTCGTGGTATTTTCTGCTTGATTATCCGGTTCATCAGTTTGCCGGTATTCCTTTTATTTATTTCTACCCGTTTTCACTGATAAAAGTGAGAATTGTGCTTTCCGCCAAAAAACAACAAAAAAAAAAAACACAAAATAATGTATTCTTAATTTGTTGCTTTTTTGTGTCGCCCTCTATCGACAGAACTATTGCACACGGAAAGAGAGGGCGCAAAGTCAGGGCGGCTGTGCAACGCAATTGGAACAATCTTAAAAAAAAAAAAAAGAATTGGGCTGTGTGTATGTTTATACAGCCTAGAACGCTGCCTGCCTCCAGGGGCGATGAGTTTCCCAGGTGTAGATGAGCAATTTAGCCAGTGCAGTACAACCGGTAGCCTGGGGTCTCTAACGTGCACCACACAGTAGCGGTACACGACCGCACGCCGGTACGATGCTCATCCAGATCGAAACGGGCAGGGGTGAGGCTCGAACCCAGGATCCCTGGGTTCTGCAGTGCCAGCTTTTGCTCCACGTGCTCCGAGCTGGCGTGCGCTCGCCCACTCGGCCACCGATCCCCCAGCACGATCTCCAACTCTGCTGTGGCCTGCCGACACGCCTCCGCTTGTGTACTTCGGTTTATGTTCACGTGGTTGCGTTCACCCGCAAAAAAAGATTTTGCACAAAGTCTGTGCAGCTGAGCGACGCGGTCTTCGACTTTGTATTGGGGCTTGCTGACCCGCCACCGCTTGTGTACTTTCATTTACGTTCTGCGACTGCACTCCTTGATTGGTGTTTTACTAACTGATCTTTTATTTTATCTGTTTCTTATCGGGCACATGTGTGACATTTTTCTTCTTGCAATTAGACTGACCTTCTCATAAATGTGTTCAAAAAAAAAAAAAATTCCAGTTGTGTTTTCATTGAGCATTCATATTTAAGAGGCAGCACTGCTTCTAGAGCTTTTTCTTTTATATAACTTGCGAGTCAATTCAAATTAAATTTACATAGCTTATTTACCATTACAATCTGACTACAAATATGTACTTGGTTCTGATGTAACCTAATTACTTTTGATAGTATTAAAGAGTTAACTCGCAAAGTTCATCGGAAGGATTAAGACAAATTGAAATACTGAAATAAGAAACTTAACATATATCAGTGAACTAAAAGGTATGTGTAATACAATCGGGCATAAATGAAAGCCCTAGGATGCTTTATAAGCGTTTTAGGATACTTTTGAACTTTCCAGTTTCAAAATGATTTATTGCAGGATGGCCAAAAGGCACCTAAAAAAAGCCCAATGACCTATTTATTATATTTGTACCCCGTATTGCGTATGTCACACCTACAAGAGAAAGAAAAACAATATGAAGGCTAGATATGTGCAAGTGGAGATTCGATTCGTAACCTTTATTATTCGATTCGATTCGCTTCGAAAGATTTTGATATTCGCACACCTCTAGCTAATTATCTAATCCAGTATAGGTGGCAATGTTTTTGTGTATTTTGAAAAATTTGTATTTGACCGATTAACAGATATGGGTCATTTTTATATGGTGCGTGGAATGAGTGTTTGACTGGTGTGTTAGCGTTCTACTCCATTTATGCGCCGAATGTTGTCCCCAAGTGGCAACAAGTGACATTGCAAAAGCGGGAGAGGAAATTAACTTGGAGCGGATTGTTCAAAATTATTTTGAAAAACATGAAAGTACATAACAAGTAGGGACCAAGACAGACAGTACAGTTCTTTCAACTAGCAACTGACCTTTCACGACGCTACCCACCATGCATCAGCCTTTCCCTTCCCTCTTCCCATAATCTCTCGAAAAAAGAGAAGGGGAAAAGAAGAATGTAAAGCAACTTTTAAGGAAAGAGAATGAAAGAAATAGAAAAAGAAGAAACGGCATTATGGAATCGAAGTGAGCCAACTACTCCTGCCTCGGAAACTTTACTTCATTCTTGGATAACCTAAGGGCAAAATTGAAAGCATCACTTTCCATCCGATAGGACTCGAGCATTTCTCTGCCAACTGTGTCCTTGTGTTTCCTGAAAATTCGGGTTGCATGGAAGTATGGCTCACAGTCGAAACAGATGTGCTTATGCTCCACGATAGGGTGAAGACTCACTGCATGCTCGGCTTACTTAGAGGAAGTGCTTCCTGAGGCGAGGCATCTGTCATTCTGTCCAATCTCCACAGGTTAATGGACCATAATGTTATCAGACTGGATGAAGTTTCGAAAATTATATGTGACCTTAAGCTGGTGTCATCCGCTGGTATGGACAAAATAAACTAAAAAATTCTAGAAGTAACAAATCGGTACACTTTTCTAATACTTTGCTCGACTCTGCCATTTTACCTAATGACTGGAAAATTGGAAAGGTTATTCATCTCTGTTCAAAGCTGGCGATAAGCACTCCCCTAATAATTACGGACCAATCTCGCTAACTAGCATCCCCTGTAAGGTTTTTAAATGCATAATCAGGGTGTCTACCAAGTTGACATTTTCATATTCCCCGAGTACTTTTGTGAAATTCTCTGAGTGACACAGAACTTTATTTTAGGTCAAGATGGGCTGACACCATGTCGTCACATGCTGTCACTTTCTAAAAAGCTTGTTATAAAATAAAGAAAACAACATAATAGTTTTAATGGCAACGAGTAACTTTTATCAGATTCAAACAGAAAACAGAATGGAGTGGTTAGTAAAATTCACAAGGAATAAAATATAAAAGAAAGGTAAACTGAAGTTTACGTGACCCCCCCCCCTTTCCCCCGTGAGGTCATGTGACCTCGGGGGGTGGGGAGTCTTGTAACCTCACGGTTACGCCGACGGTGACGCCGCTTAAGCCAGAAACGGGCGCCTAAGAGTTGCGCTCTAAAAGAAAAACAGGAGCAATAACGGGGAAAGAAAAAGGTACACAAAGATAAGGCGTTCAAAGTGCGATTGCTCAACCCTTGTTAATCTTCTTTTTTTTTTTGCTCACTTTATTTCGGGGCAAAGGAGTCTCGCAGAGTAACAGCGGTGTTCGGGGAAAAGAGCGCACGCGACCGTTCCAACAGCGGGCACTCCCTGCCCTCCCTACAAGTGCCCTTCCCTTGCTTTTGCCATCCTCCACTTCTTTGTTTTATTGGTTTCTTTTTTTATACAATAGCTCTTTCGCTGCGTATCCCCGCGTGCGTGTATGCTGGCTTGGCGGTCTGCCAGCCCCGCAGCCCGAGCTATGTGCTCCCCGCCGGCGCAATCCGACCCTGGGAGAAGCCAAGGACGGCCGAGCTTCATCTTCCTTCGTTCGTTACATCGAGTGTCCCCGCCATTGGAGTTATGGGCGTTCGATACAGAAAAACCATGGTTTTCTGGTGGATGTTTGGACTGTTTCATATAAACAATAATTCGAAATACACGGGTATGATATAACCGGGCTCGACTGTACGTTTGGCCCATTCCATTGATATCTGAAGAATTTTGGACTGTGAGAGCCTATCTGTAACACTTCTGAATCAATAAAAAAAAAAAAAAATCCCTGATAGAAGCACAAATTCCCTGAGTTTTCCCCCGAGATTTTCCAGACTATTCAAAATCCCTGAGAATTCCCGGTTGGTAGACACCCTGATAATATACTCACAACATTTAAATATTATTGAATCCAACTAATTTTTTTTTTCACAGCTCAACGTGGGTCAAGTAACAATTTTTCTTGTAAACACAATTGGTTAAAATTACTAATGATAACTAAACATTGATCTTATCATGATTAAGTGGGTGGTGGCATTTTTAACAGATCATTCTCAGTTTGTAACCTGCAATAATATTAGCTCTTCCTTGGCATCTGTTTCTTCTGGAGTGCCTCGGGGGGTCTGTCTTAGGTCCATCACTTTTTTTAATTTGTTGTAACGACTTGTCATGTACCGTATTTACTCGCATAATGAACACTTTTTCCCCCCGAAAAATCGACATATATTTATAAGGTGCATTCACTATGCGGGGTAAAATTTTTGCATGTACACATGTACACACTTTGTGCAGATGTCATTTTAGGTGCCAATATGACACGGCAGGGCACTGTGCCACGTCTCCTCTGACGGAGGTGGATTCCGATTCAAAACAATTGCTGCACGATTTAAATTCTATGACTAAATGGTGTGAATTGTGGTCAATGGAACTAAATTGTGACTTTGCCGGCATCCGTGCGAACTACTCTTTCGACCAATCAGCCGAAACGCAAGTCCACACGGACGTCAGGTCTGACGTCCGACGACAAGAGCATACCAACTGCGTGATGACCTATGCTATTCGGACGTCAAACGTGGAAAGAAATTACTTGACGTCCGAGAAGGAATGTCTCGCCGTCGCCTGGGCCATCGCAAAATTCCGCCCGTAATTATACGGGAGCCCTTTTCGGGTGGTCACGAACCACCACTCGCTGTGTTGGTTAGCGCGCCTGAAGGACCCATGGGGACGCTTTGCTCGATGGAGCCTACGACCGCAAGAGTACGACGCGACTGTGGTCTACAAGTCTGGCCGAAAGCACAGTGACATCGACTATCTATCCAGAGCCCCCATCGAGTCAGCTACCGGCTACTCTAAAGATGGCGACGACCACCTTGTTAGTGCAGCGAGCGTTAACGGCACGGCAGCGTTACAACAGGATGATCCTGAACTACGCGCACTGATCGACCACTTGGAGGGCATACTATTCCCCCAGCCTTCTGACGTGCCCTGCGAATATTCGCCGTCCGGAGAGGTATTCTCTACAAAGAGAACTTTGGGGACAGCAACTCGACCTGGATCCCAGTGATCCCTGCTGGTCTTTGAGAAGTCTTCCAAGCCTGCCACGACGACCCACCACCTGGTCACGTTGGCCACAGTGGGACTCGCAAAGATTCGAGAGAAGTTCTACTGGCCACAATTTGACCCCATCGACTGCCTATTGTTTCATATAATTTCTGTTGCCCGTTTCTTCACAGCAGCCATTATTAGCAAAAATCCGGCTTGCTCTCCGACTTGGCATACAAAATGCACATGCTGTTTCATTTGAAGTCCGAGCTAGTAGCAACACGAACCAGCGACAAAAGAAGCATTGATTGGACCTTTTGTAGGAGGCGAAATGTTGGTTTAAATCAGCCACCGACACTTCTGCAGCCGACGCCAACATCTGTTGACACGTCGCTTGAATGCGATTCCACCGCTAAATGACTTCCTATCGGATGATGACGAAGGTATTTTTTTTTGATACTGAAGCATATGTAGGGTCCATTTACGATGGTTCTTTAAAAAAATGGTTGACAAATAAAGCATAGTGCAGGGGTGGCCAAGCTGCGGCTCGCGAGCCACATGCGGCTTTGTGTGTTAAAGTGCGGCTCGCGGCTCCCTCCACTACCCCCCCCCCCCCCCCCCCCCCCCCCCCCCACACACACACACACACCCGCCTCCCTCTAGGTCACACGAGCACTTCCCCTAAAAGAGAAATGGAACGCGTTTTAAATCGAGACAGGTAGAGGTTTGGTAGTCTTGTGCTACTGCTACCTTGCATGCAGTAGGACTGCTTTTGACTCGGATGGATTGAAAATAGTTGTAATTTCGTTTATTGCTGTGAAAGGTCCCCCTCCCCCTTTTTCTGCTTTTCCTCTTCCATGCGGCTCTTGGAAGTTTTTGTGGTTTTGTTTGCGGCTCTTAGGCCGGGTCAGCCTGGCCACACCTGGCATAGTGCAACACTTCAGTCGTGATAAAACCTCTCTCCCGCCGTCCCTCTTTAACGCAGGGCATTTAATTTAGTCGGTAATTATAATTGCCATAAAATGCTGGCAAAAATCAATATCCCCCAAAACATGCATCATTAAAAATGTCCTCCCAAGGTTTATGAACACCGAACTCAAGATTGTAATTTCATAACCTATATAAACAACCACCCACATATATTAACAAAATCTACCTTTGTGCTTTAAAACCGACTCTGGTTCGAACCAGAGTCGGGCCAGTTCGCTGCCTTTTCGAATGACTGCTGCACGCCAACTGACTAAGATATTTATTAAAATATACTCACGTTTTTTTGTCCTTTCTTGGCACAGCTTTTGAAGATTAGAGGTCAGCCTACAATCAAAACCAAAGGTCTACCCGTAATACCGTATTTACTCGAGTAATAGCCGCACTGTTTATGAAGAAAACCTGAGGGTTTGCTTTTCCGCGGAGCACGCCAATTGCCAATCGCCGCAATCGACGACACGACTCCAGTGGTCTACAGGACAGAGATAACGTCTTCGCGCGAACATACCATCTGTGAAGATTGCATTTGTATGGAGAATCGTGTTCTTAATGTAATTATTCGCCATGTTATTTATGCGCAAAGCGACGATTGGCTGTATATGTGCTTTGCGGGAAAGTAGATACAAGGGCCTTGTTCATAAATAGTGTGGCTATTACTCGAGTAAATACGGTAGTGCAGAGAATAATTTCTGAGCCAATGGCAGTAACCCATGTACCATCAGCCGCTATTCCTAGCACTCCGGTGCACTGCAGGGAAGCTCGATGCGTGCGTGCTGGTAGGGGTCGTGAAGGTCGACGTGAGCAGCGCAAGTGCCATGGTACGGTGTAGCCACAACAAGAAGGCATGTGGCAGACATAATAATCGAGCTACATCGTCGGCAATAAAGGACCTTGGTTGTGTCTTGTTACAGTAGCCATTATACCACTGTTTTGCAAATTTTGCTCGCGACATTTAGCTGCCAACATCATTTGGAAATTCAGACGATGACGGTGCCAACGCGTCAAACTCTACACTTCGTTTCATCTCGAGTCAAAGCGCAGCCGACGCTACGACCAATCAAACAGCACCAAAAGAGTGACATCATGCAGGGGTGGTCCAGCTGCGCCAATTGCGCCATTTTGATAAATTCTCCTTTACCTGCTCCTTGCTGCGCCTAAAGACACAAATTGCGCCAAACTGCGCCAAAAAGGGCTAGTCGGTTCGTGAACAAATCCTTTTTTTGGAAGAATGGCGTTTTTGGCTGGCAACCCGGTGGGAGTTTTATTTTCTAGGCTAGGTGGCGCAAGCTGCCGCCGGATATAAAGGGTAGAGCCGTTACCATAGCCATCACAATCCAATTCAGGTTTCCGGCCCAGTGGCATTATTGCGCATTATTGTTTTGTTGCGACCGTTTTGATATGCGGCGTTGTGGCTGTTCATTTCTGCATCGCCATTACTAAGTCCTCTTGAAGATGAGCAAACGTGAGTACTTCGTTTTTTTTCTGCATGCGCGTTTTAAGTTACAGACCCCATAGTAGAAATTTGCTCGGACGCTCGTTCACCGGCAGACCAGCGGCATCAATCGCTCACCGTTCCGCAACCAATCAATCATCAATCGCTCACCGGCAACGACCACGCGATCGTTCGATCGCGTGGTCGTTGCTTGATTTCCTTGTTGCGAATTGTTGCGTGTTCCTTTTCATGTCAAATGCCGTAAACGATTGGTCACCCCTTGGTTGTCATACTGTCGCACTGCGTGCGAACTCAGAATAGAGCTTACAAACATGTTTAATAAATCGCTATAGTTTCGGATTCTCGGACGCCTTGAGTACATTTATCACGATCACGAAAAACAGGTCGACTTACAATTGTGTAAATACATATTCACCGCGGTAACTTTAAAGTTTGTAGATCATGGCAAAAAAGTTTTGGCGTATTTTCTTGGTTTGTTTAAAATTGTAATTTTGTCCTTTTTTTCTAGAGCGAAGCACCAAGTTTAAAGACTCAGTACTCAGTGAGGTGGACTCAAATAATGATTTAATTAGTCTCTGGTGCAAAAAGGGGACTCACAAAACTGATGCATTTTGCGTCCTCTGCAATTCATCAATTTCCTGCGCACAACATGAAGTAGCTGCCATCAAACGTCACGCAGCATTGAAGAAACATGTTGAAGCTGCTGCAAGGCACAGAGATGAAAACGGAAACCTTCAGCTCCCCAAATTGGTGCAAGCCGCATTGGATTTCTCACAAGGTGCTTCTGGCACATCACTCCAAGACCAAGTGTGGAAAGCGGAATCAATTTTCGCTATGTCCGTTGTTTCAAAGTCTATCCCTTTCTCGTGGGGAGACAGTGCTACGGGAATGTACGAGTGTATGTTTCCGGACAGCGAGGTTGCTAAGAAGTTTAGCTGCAGCAGGTCCAAGTTATCACGTATCGTGCCCGATGGACTCGGCCCTTACTTCAAGTCCAGAGTTGTGAGTGAGCTGTGCCACCCAAATGTTTTCTTCTCCGTGATGATCGACGAAACCCCAAAGCCAGAGCAAAGAACGCAGCAACTGGATGTGCTTGTTAGGTACTTTTCTAACAGCCAGCAACAGGTTGTCGTTGAGCATGTGCAATCGTACAACCTCGGGTGTGCCACCGCAGAAGTAATTGTGGGCTGTGTAGAAGACGCGCTGACTGAGCTACCGAAGAGAGGGCTTGTTTGCTTTTTCAGTGACGGGCCTAACGTCATGAAAAGTGTGAGGAACAAGCTCCAAAAGGATATGCCATCAAGTTTGGTTGACATCAACAACTGCAACCTTCACAAAGTCCACAATGCTTTTGCAAAAGGTCTCGATGCGTTTGGCTCGGATGTTGAGGAGGTCGTCCGAAACGTCTACTACTACTTCAAAAGCGCTGTTCGTGCTGAAGCCCTCGGAGAATGTCAGGAGGCTCTAGGGATTGCTTCTCATGTGTTTCTGCGTCATGTCTCCAATCGCTGGCTCACACTTCAAGATTCACTGTGTCGTGTCCTAGAACAATTCAAAGCGCTGAAGTCATACTTTCACGAGGCAAGCATGACAAAGCAGCGAGTGGACACTCAGAGTCTTCACAGCAAGCTTGCTGCAGCATTTTCAAAGAAAGACCTTTATGCCAAGGTGTTGTTCTTGAAGAACTGTGCCGAGCTTTTTTCTCGGTTTCAGACACTGTTTCAGAAGCAAGAGCCCCTGTTACACATACTCCACGCGGAGTTGCTGTCTCCAGTCCAGCGAATCCTCAGCCGTTGTTTGAGGAGTGTAGCCTATGTGGACAAGAGTGCGGAGGAACTGAAGAAACTCAATGTGCAGGACTCTACCCTGTGGAAAACCAAACCAGAAGTGGGTATGGACACTGAGCAGGCAATGCTGAAATGGGATCCAGGTGAAAAGAAGCGGTTACTTCTTGGGGCCCGTGCCTTCTACTTGGCTTGCTCGAAAGACCTCCTGCAGAAGCTGCCTCTTGACAATAAAGTCCTTCAGCACACAAGTCTCTTGGGATTGCAGCCCAGCGACGTGGAGTCAGAAGTCCGATCCTTGCGATGCTTTGCTTCCCAGCTGCCTCAAGTTCTTGAGAGCGACCACGTGTCATCACTGGTCGATGAGTGGCATATGCTGAGATGTGACTCTGCTAACAGCCTTCAGTTGATGGAAGATGGACGGATCGACACTCGTTGGGCTACAGTATTTCAACAAAAGTGCGCAGCTGGTCAGCAGAAGTACCCACTGTTGTCAAGGCTAGTAAAAGCGCTGCTCTCTCTACCTCATGGCAACACGGACTGTGAGCGAGGCTTCAGTGAGAATAAGCATCTCCTTGAAGGCAGAGCCTCATTGTGCATTACGAGCATCAACGGATTGCGGCAAGTGAAGACCTACCTGCAGAGGTATGATGGAGATGCCACAAAGGTGCCCCTGTCACCAGACCTTCTGCGAAGCGTCAAAAGAACAAGAGCCCGGTATGAGGAAAGAATTGGAAGCAGAGAGGCCGACATGAAGAGAAAAAAGCCTGACAGCGCACAAGTTGATGCTGACAACTCGCATGACAAGCGCTTAAAGAAGCAGTTGGAGGAAAGGGTGATCTCGTGCCGTGCGTTGCTGAAGAGGGCGGAAGAGACCATTGGTGCAGGACTGAAGTGCCAAAGCTTGGAAAAAGTAGAAGGTGGCCAAACTATGTTAGCTGAAGCCAATGCTACTTTGTCACGCACTCTTTGCGAGCTGGACGAACTGAAAAAGAAATGCAAAAAGCATTGAGTCAATATATTTTTTTTTTCACCTGTGATATATAGTCTACAGTCAAAAGGCAAGAAGTATTAAGCAATATTTGAGTTTTCATCTGTGATATTTTGTTACATAGTTAAGCTTTAGCTGCAAGAATGTTCTGTCATAAATAAAATGTTTTTCTTATGGTGAGTTCTTTTCTTTGTAAATTACTATATGAAATTCAGATGTTCGTGACACACACAGACATATATATATATATGGGGGTGAGGTAAGATTGACAAGGGCAGCCGTAATATATATATAGACATGGCACAGAACTGCTCTATGTTCATGCTGCTCCAAAATGTTTAGTTTTCCTGATACCAAGGTGCTCCAAAACGAGCTTTTCCCCGCTCCAAAAGGGGAGTTTATGTGATACGAATTGCTCCAAAATTGGGTTTTTCTTGCTCCAAAACCTAAAATGGCTGGACCACCACTGCATCATGGCATTCATTGTCTATCTGTACTCTGTACATACTCTTATCCGCTAAACCAACCAAGCGCAACATGAATGCTAGACTCACACTTTTAATGGGTTTGTGATATACGAGACGAGCTGTACGGTGGATAGACACGCTATAAAATACATACTGTAAACAACTTAATTTTCGCGAATTTTGCGCCTACAATTTGCGAAAAATAGTCACCACAAACAATTCCGGTAAAATGTAAACACATTGGAATCTATATTGAGATCCCACCACGTCGCAAAAATTAAAACCTCCGAATTATTCCAAAACTTCAGCTTTTACCTAAATCGCAAAATGTTGAGCCCGCGAAAAAAAAGTTGTTTACTGTATTTGCACCATTTTAGTTTTCTTCTACTCTTTCAAATTCTTAGCACAAACGGCACTTTGGCGCAAGATGGAACCGATTTTCGGTAATGGCGCAAATGATGCAGCACTTCTATTCAATACACGCACAAAAATGCAAGAAAGCAATGTCGCAACACATCACTGGCACTTGATTAAATCGGTTGTCGGTAACGCAGATAGAAATATGAAAAAAAATGTGATGTAGAGTTGCCCTCTAAGCTCGATTGGCCGTATTGGCTCGTAGTGTTGGCAGCGCTCAGACTCAAGAGGACTCTGAGAATAGACCCTGTGCTCATGACGATGGTGATAACATCTATTAAATCCTAAACTTAGTCGCTAGACCATTAACTTTCACAAATCTCGTTCCTGAACAAATAGTGTTGGGCCCAGTGCTCTCTGCTTTAAAAATACGAAAAAAAAAAAAAAAAAAATTTGCGCTATGAGTACAGCAAATCTATGCTTAATGTTGAATGACCTCGACTTTATTGCAACATGCACACCACGTGGCAGACAAACTTTCAGTTGTGCTAGGTGGTGAACGCAGTCATACAGCCACATGGAAACAGAACCAGACTTTGATGAGGGCATTTAATTCATCTCAGAAATGAAAGTCAATACAAAAATGTACTTGTACAAAAGAAAAGCAGTGGCACAATAGATGACTAACAAGAAAGTGTGGAATGCTTATGCTGCCATTACTACTGATAGAAGAACTTCTAAAATAAAAAGGATAGTGAAAAAAAACGAAGCAATGGATTTTTGCTGCGCAGCGATGCTTTTTCATTGCAAGCTGAGATGAGTACAAAAGTAGACTTACAATCTGCTGCAGTCTAGTCATAAGCGACTAATAGTGCACTGGCGATACAAGGCGAGGAGCTCAGGACAGCACTCTATAATCTTCATTGATAGTCCCCACGGTTTAAACAGCGGGGCACCGACTTCGATAGTTGATCCCCGATAGAAAGACAGCTTTATTTGTTGTTGGCACTATACTGAAAGAAATAATGCATCCAATAGTTTTTTTTGGGAAACACTAACATTCTGTGGAAGGAAAGTTACCAGTTTGGCAATACTACGCACCCAGAACCAGCGAACGATCAGTAAAATTTTCGTAACCACATCAACACAAAAACACTCCCTCGAGTTGAAGTGAGTCATTCTCAATGTCAGATTGATTGGCAGTTCACAAAAAGCCGAGGAATCTTCAGCCACCGAGTCAGACAAGAGTCTTCTTTTTAAGCTACATCTCTCTCTACCGCCTCGGCCCCGAGCAACATAGACGCACGCACAGCCAAAGCACCATCAAAGACCCTGCTCGTGCTCAGAGCACAGAACCAAGAGGGACATCCTTCCGTGATTGTTTTACTCACGACCACACGCGCACCAATCAATTCTCGTCATCGCAACGATTAAAGGGCAACTCCGCTTAATTTCTGTTTTTGAAGAAACAATGCAGTCCTCTTCAGTACCACCTAGGAAGACCATACGTCAAATATTACGACATAGTTCTGTCTAAATGTTTCTTAAATGGTCTGGCAAACTTTGCAACTTGCTAAGTTGCCGAAATCAGACATGAGGTGCAACCAACAGCGCAGTCAAAGCTACGGTGCGGCGAAGCCAACATTGCACTAAACGTCATCACCATTGCCCCCTTTTGCTTGTTCTTACTTCTCCGCGCAAGCGTAACGGGTGACGTCAGCATTGTTTCCTCTCTGTGCCAAACGGTGTCCACGTGACTGGCGTAACGCGCCTGCGCTTCTTGGGAGACCCCGCAGTGGTACCGCCGTTTCCCGCGTCACAACTACCGTTGTCATCTCGCCGTTCGCAATTATTGTTGCTCAAAGTTTCGTCCACACTATGGACACTATGTGCGTGGACTTTCGCCGCAGTTGTGCAGACATCGTAGACACCAAAACGTGGTGAGGAGTGCGGTGCAGAAAACACCTGCGCCTGGCAACATGCCTGCCCCAATCCTGCCCGTCGTTGCATAGAGGATCACGCGACATCTCGTCCCATGTCATAGCCATGTTCTTGGCGGCCCAAGGCCAATGTTGAAAAGACGGAGCTGAAGTTTCGGTTTTAAATTCTGCTGGCATTTTAAATTAGATTTAAATAAATATATCCCATTTTTCGCGAAGCAAACAATGTAGTGTCTTTTATTGGGGCTTTTTAATGCGAAATCGCTCATTATCCCAAAATCTTCAGAATTGAGCGGAGTTACCTTTTACATCAACCGTTCCATTCCCGCCAAACACGACCCGAAATGACTTTACGCAACGTGTCATCACAAATCGATCATTGGCCCAACGCGAACCCACACCACAAAAACGGGTCTCGGGCGTCTTCCGACGTCGCATCAACGTCACCCTGCCAGGCGAGCACGGCACGAGTCTTTCTTCCACGCGGCGTGCACCGGGCAGAAATTTGCAAACGTACAAAAACGTGAATGCTGCACGGCAAAGCCGGCACGGACGAGCCCCACTTGGAAGCTCGCAAGAGGAGGCACGCCATTCACAAATTAACCGATACCTCTCACCGAAACCATACGGTGTCTGGAATGCGTTGCTGACCAGCGCTTTTACCTCCCTATACCCTAATTTGTTGAAAGTCGTCTCCAAGACACCAAAAGCACCGGTCCGAGGCTCGTTGAGGCAGGGCAGCCTCAGCGCCGCACGGGCTCTGCCGCGAGGAAGGGCACCCGGTTGGCCTCCAGGTACGCCAGGAAGGGAAGGCGGTGGTGGTGGCACACCTTGAGCAGGTCCACGCAGTCCTGCTCCGCCTGGTGGGCGTTGGAGCGGCGGCCGCAGAAGCGCTTGTACAGCATGTCCAGAGAGTAGGGGCCCGCCCCCTTGACCTTCTTCTTGGGTGGGGGCGCGGCCTGCACGATCTGCCGCAGGGCCTTGATGGTGTCGCAGCACAGGAGGCCTGGCAGGCCCAGGTCCCCCTCTCCCGCGTGACGCAGCTCGTCCTGCGGAAGGAGGGGAAGCGGGCTCGCGGTCGGGTCGGGGGGCGACCAAGCGAGACTTCGAGACTCGGCTCGAGCGACTGCTCCATGGGGGCGCCAGTCAGTGTTGCTAAAGAAGCTATGCCCAGAGCACAGACACTTCGTTCCTCGATCGTCTTATCAGCACCGCCATTCTGCTTAAGAGCGGGTGTAATTGGTGATGGGAGCCGCGTGCATGCAGTCTGCAACGCACGCAGCTGGCACACGGATGAAAACCTTTCCTCTTTCTTTTTAATTCTGCATTTTTTTTAGAAAGTTCTAGCTCATTCAACGGTAATGGGCTGCTTTGGGACAGTCGCCGTTTCTTCACGGACGCAGGATGTGTGATACCTTTCACTTAAAGTTTGTCTCATTAAACGTTTATTTTCAGTTCTACATTTGTCAACAGTTTTCATTTGAGTCAATAGTTACGTCAGAAAATGCAACTTCCTGGGCATCCGATATAACATGAAGAAGCTCGGGCAATGTCGCTTTGCTCCATCACAGACGGCTTTAACACTCCGAAGGGATGGAAAAGCATATCTCGGTCGAGGCTTCTTCACCCCTGCAGCACCAAATCAATGCAGCAATTGGTGCAGATTTTGGCGCCGTTTAGCGGCATATCCGCTAACACGTCTACCAACAGAAGTGCACCCTGTAAATTTAATGAGCCCACCAAACTCTATACTCTAATATTATAAGCTGCAAAAAAATACCACCCGAAATTAGTATGAAAGGCTGCACTCGTGCTTTAAATGTGACAGTGCTCTTTAGCGGTGTAGGAACCAGAGTTACGTTAAAGTTTGCTGCTCTCTCGATAGACAGCTGCTCGGAAATTACCGTGACTAGCGTATTTATTCAAATATATATAGACTCGTGGTCCCTTCTCTCTTTATCTGTTTTCTTTTTTTAAATTAGAGATTATAATTTACAATTAGGACAAAGAAGGTCGTCCCGTAATAATCTTGAGCATAATTTGTGTGCCTATCACGCTAAGCCAGGCGCTCTCCCGGGTCAGCCGCTGCTCCTAGCACCTTGGTGCAAAGCGGGGAAGCTCGACGTGCGCACGCTGGTAAGAGGCGCTGAGGGTTGACGCAAGCTGTGCAAGTGCCACGGTACTCTGTAGCCACGGCATGGGGGCATGTGGCAGACATGAGGATCAAATGATCTTATCAGGACTACAAGACCCTGGTTCTTTTTTGCAAGAGTAGCCGGAATCAGCCATCCTACGATTTTGCAAAAGTTTTATCGGGAACTCTTAGTTCCTGGCATCGACGATATCGTCTGGAAATTTAGTCGATGTCGGCGATCGACCTGCCAGCGCATCAAAGCACGACATCGTGGCATTCGTCACTTCCGTGTTCGTGTACGTGTTCTTTCATCGGCTATACCAATCAAGAGCAGCGAATGTCCCGTGACTTGCACTTTTAGCGTGCGTTTGTGGTTGTCTGATGTGTTCGAGCCTTCGGCTGTACTCTGACCTAAAACGGAACAAACTATGCGGTGAGTAGAGACGCTTTGAAATTCATGTTTGTACAATGTTTTTTTCCCTTTTACTTCTCTGAATGATAGGGTCCACCAATAACGAAATATATATATTTCTTGCTGTAAGCCTATCTCGGCGCAGCTGCGGCGCAATTCTCAGAAAATGGCATTTTGGCGCAAGATGTAGCAGACTTCCCTTCATGGCGCGCGCAAATGGCACAGCACTTCCATCACTGCTTATTACAACTCACAATACCGCAAGGACAATTTCATGAGATCTCGCAAGGCGATTGAGGTACCGGGTGATTGCGAGATAAAAGAACCTCGTTTCTTGGCACATAAATGAACTATGCGCCGCAGGAAGCTGAAACTGTAAACAAAAATGCACCGCCAGCAGTCGTAATTGAATGCAAAAGTTCGACAAGATGACATGTGAGCCCCATACCGTCGAAGCGATAGATGACGTAGTGGGTGCCTCTCCTAGAGCACAGCACGGGCCCACCTGAAATTGGGCCTTCATGTGCGGGCCTGCACCTTTGCAAGTCTGAATCGGACTGGGGGGTGCGGCCCGAGCCCAATCCAGGTCCGCCAATGAGTGAAAGTAACACGTGTGCTTCAATAATGCTATTCAACTAGTCAGACAAAGAAAACAAGAGCGTAGCTTTACTACATCTTTACACGATTATTTACGCAGTCATAATTTATTTTGGCACACTGTATCACGTGTGCCAAAATAAATTGGCACACGTGATCAATGCACACTGTAGATCGATGGATCAACACTTGGCAAGCATAGGACGACAACGTAAGTATTATATTTCTCGGCTGCATCGCCGGTCGACACACATAGTTCTCGCCTTGCACCCTAATGCGGCATGCTGCGCTCTAGGATATTTTGCGTCGTGCTTCTTGGGTATCCCAACACTCAACGCAATGCTGTGACAAGCTGTCGCAAAACGGCGTGTCAATGTGGCGAGCGAAGTCGCGCAAGCGTCGTCCTGCAGAGGGGAAGACAGTCTGCATTGTGGGAAGTTATTGTTTTTTTTTTTCAAACTCTCGGATTCAGTCTTAGTAGACCCACTGCAGCCTTAGCCTCAGTGACCCAGAAAGCCAAGACAAACGCTACTGCATGTCATGCTCTGGACAGCAGGTCAGTACGGCGTCTGTCTGCACCTTTCGCTGCACTAAGACTCACTCGAGAAGGCAGAAGGAAAGAACGAACGAAAAAAACCTTCTGCAGTGCAGACAAATCGTCCTCTCCCCTGGGCCGGTGGCTGCACGTGCGAAGCAAAGCCCACGGTGCCATGGCATAGCATAGCTACCGGAGCCGGAGCTCTCATTATTTCTATACCCGTTTTCACCTCAAAAACCGTAGTAAAAAAAAGTCCGGCTCCTCGCAGAGAATTGCTAATTTCACCCTTTATGTAGATAATTAAGATATATGGAAATGCATTTTAGATTAGATATATGCTACCTTATCAAGATGTACACGCTTCAAACGCTAAAAGCATCTCTTCTTCCTCCGACAACTAAATTCTGTAAGAACTACTTCGCGCAGCGTACGAACAATGCACAGAACTTCCTTTTTCTTGAGGAGAAAACGTGTATAGGTAGGTATATTTCTAGATCTAGATTCCACACGTTGTTCGGACAAACAAAGCGTCGTTCGGACGAACGACGCTCTGTCCGTCATTCGTCCGAAGAAATCAACGACTGCCGTCCGAGTTTCGAGGGCAAGCCTCAGCTGACATCGCTTTGAAAACTGGGACGACTGCTCCTCCGGAATACCTTATCCTGGAGGGTTGCCGCAACTTCATCTCCCGGTCAACGGTCCGTCACAGAGCCCCGGTTGTATGACATTGTTTTGCTCCTGGGTAACTAGTTGATTGTCTTTGTAAAATTGTTCTCTCTTGCTCGTGACCCTTGTTACATTGCCAGCTGTGTGCATTCGAGTTTTGTTACAATATTTTCATTTCTGCAAATAGAACATTGATGTTACGTTTAGTCGAGACTACTGTAAAACCCTTTATTTTCGCGGCCCCTATTCTTCGCGAATCGGTCACAGATGACATAATTGCGACCACTAAATTTCGCAAATTCCAGACGCCTGTGTTGAAAACCTTAAGGACCGAAATTTTCGCGCGCCCTTATATTTTGCGAATTCTTTAATTCGTGAAATTCGCGAAAATTGAGGGCTCGCTAACATTGAGGGTTTTACAGTATCTCATTCTTGGCAGGCTACAACCGAGGTTGGGCATCAAACAGTCACCCCACTTAGTCACCGCACTGTTTGGTTTGGTGGAGTGACATGCCACATTCCTTGGAACAAACAGGCAGCGAGTAACACAGGTATTGACTTTGCTCACGAACCTTCCGGTCGTGGGGCTGCTATCCCGCATCCGACCTACCGTAAAATACCGCAGAAGCACCCACCAATTAACATTTCGCAAACTTGGGGATTCTGCAAATTACACGGTAAAGCTGACATACACTTTGCGTTTTTCACTTTTGCCCGCCTCCTCATTTCCTATACCCTCTCCACATTTTACCTTGCTCCAACTAGGAGAGGCCCAGGAGAGGGGAGCGCTAAGACGATTACCTTCCCTGCAGAAATCCCTGGCTGAAATAAGCTCTTCAGGGCAGAAGAGCTTATTGTATAAGCATTCTGCTTCCGGAAAACCCGAGCTTATCTCGAAGAAGGCCTGGAAAAGTGATGTCTGCGAAAAGGCTTCAACTGCGGTAATCCCTCATTATAACAAAGTCAACGGGAAGGCCAAAAAATTCTATATAAGCGGTAATTCGATAAAAGCGATAGAGCCATAAAAACAGTAACAGCAGCCTTAAAGGTGGACTGGAACACTACGGTGCACTCTGAACGCATATTTAATTAAAGAAACCTTGGTTGCGAACATCTCGCGGCAAATTTCCCCGAGTAAAAACCGTGTAAGCGGGAGGTTTTAGAAAGGCACGCTCAGGAAGCGACGCCAACATGCGACAACGAACTTGGCACTTTCTTTACGCTTTTGGCGACCGTGTAATTGAAGAGTTTGATTCCCGATGCCGCAGTGGTCCAACGTTCATACACCCGAGTTCAGTCTGGTCGCATGCTCTTCAACCTTAAACCGAGTCGGGTGCTGTGCCAGCGCCCTTGTGTACAGTGTTCTCTCCATCCAATGGTACATCCTCCGGAAATAAACGCCCGCAGCAAATGAAGTACTCGGGAAGCCTGGGGGCCTTATATTTTGTTGTTTCATGCCAGCATCGCATCTACCGTAAATTTTTAAGTGTCCGCTCGTTGCATACTAAGCACCCACATCAAAATTTTGCAACATCTGAATAAATATGCACAGTACATATACAGGTAAAATTAATGACCTAACAAGCGCCCATTCCCCGATTTTTACGATTTTCTTCTTATTTTGAGTGGGCGCTTGCTCGGTATTTTACGATAGGTGGCTTTTGATCAGAATGCTGCCAGTTTACAGAGGTGGGAAGGGTGTTCAGCGGACTGCCGCAAAGCTTTTTGCCGAAGTGTTCACCCAGTTCAACGCTCGCTCAATGAGTTCCGACAAATAATGGGTAGCACTGGTAGTACAGTAAGTATGTCTGGCACGGTATTGAAAAGACGGAGTCATTACGAAATAAAAAAAATGTGCAACGTTTTTAGTGAACTTTGTTGCACAGTGGGGCATAGTTTCTCTGGTGAATCTGCAAAAGCTGTATTGGAAACAGCGCAATTCAATTATCGTGCGTAAGATCCAAAGACCTCGAATTTAAATGTTAAATCTTCAAAGTTTTCTAACTTGTGGTGTTAAAGGAAAATAACATAGAGGACAAAAACCGTCCTCTATGTTATTCCTCTCTAACATTGTAACTTAACCAGCATGCTCCATTTCCACAGGTTTCTAACTTGATTTGTAAATAAATTCCAAATTTTCGAACCTGAAGTTTCAAGCACCTCAACATCTAAGTTTTTTTAATTGGAATCCCAGCGTATTCCGAAGTAGCAAACTCTTCAAATTCAAATCATAACGAGGTTAGAAATTTTCTAAACCTCTCAAACTTGAACGTCGGCAGTTTCGCAAAATCCCTAATAAGAACTTATTTTAAGCATCATCGGATCTGCAAGAGTGACAGCAATTTTGGCCTATCCAGGAGGGACCATTGCAGTCCTGGGTGGATGGGGTGACGGACCCTGCGTGAGCTCACCCTAAGGATGGGGAAGTCGAAGTAGTCCCCGTTGTGGGCCAGGAGGCAGACCGGGGCCGGGAGGGAGGCCAGGAAGGCACGCAGGGAGGGCACGGCCTCCCGGAACAGCCGCTGGTTTCCCAGCAGGGCCTCGCTCATGCCTGGGAGCGGGGGAAGGCACCCATAGAGTTAACATAATAGTCGAGAGGGAAAGGTACCACGCGTCGTGGCCACTATGGAACGGCGGGCCATGGACAGGGACGTCCGTGGTCCAGTCAATGGTTTCGACAAGCCCGGATGACTGGCGACGCTTTAATACAGTGCAATCTACTCATAACAATAATGAGAAAACCCAAAAATTCAATCGTTATAAAGGATTATCGTTGTATCTGGATTAGAAACTGAGCATTTCTAGTCTAGAAATTCTAGAAACTGATCGTTATAAGCAGTACATCGTTATATATGGTATCATTATAAATGGATTGCACTGTATATGCAAAGAAGCAGGAAAACATCACTTGTAAGGTCTGTGCTTACTGTTTTTTAGCTTCATTTTGCACTTCATAAAAAGCGCCGCGTCGAGCATCGTATAAGAAAAAAGAAGTCGACGAGCACTCTAAAAACTTGGAGTCGTGGCAAAACGAAAACGCCCGGCCTGTCGCCCGCTTTCTTTTTGGCCTCTGGCGTCCCCCTCTTTCTCGTTCTTTCCCTCGGGACCGCCAGCGTCGGCGCTTACGATTGGCCACATTCCGTTTTTACCCCCCGGGGGCAGGCGACCGTGGGAGGGGAGTTTATCCAGGATTGCCGACCTGGAGCTGCGTAACGAATTCCCTGGAGTAGCGAGCCTCTGCCTTAGCAGGCGCAGTCGGGCGGGGACGATTCGATCCGTTCGAGTAACTCTTTGTTCCAAGGGACTTGCAGCCGTCCCTCGCTCGCCGTTTGTTTCGGTAACTCTCGAGTCGAAAATCGGGTTTGCTCTTGGCCTCGGGCTCTGGCTGACGGCTCTCTGACACCTCCTGGATGACGGGGCCGCAGTGCCGGAGTTTCCACGGCGCCTGTTGGAAGCCAGTGTGCCCGGCTTCCAATAGGAGTCCGTGTGTTTGGTCGGTAGAACACCAGCCCCAACTTCGCAGTACATTTTCTGATTTCGGGGTAAAGGTCCTTTACGGGGGCTCCACTCGCTCAAAGATGCCTCCTTTCGTGTCCGAGCGCTTTTGAAACAAACCTGCGGTATAAACATAACTTCGGATCCTGCATTGCAGCGGGTAATCTCTTCCCGCATTTATCTCCAACAAGATGTCGTTTTCACGCACTTCCACGGTCCAATGGAAGGAGAAGGCTTGCACTCTGGCGAAAGCCTAATGATGACCCTCCTGAAGAGATTTTACGATCTACCCAAAAACAAACTTGTTGTGCTTGACAAAACGAAGGCAAAAAGCCTCACCCTCGAAAAGGAATGCTTGCAAGCACCGATTGAGTCTATCATGAACATCCTTTGAACCACTTTTATTTGTGCAATGCACAATTTTCAGAAAATTAAAAAAAAAAAAAGATATGCCAGGCAAGCAATTTGTAAAGTAATAAATTAGTATGTTACAAAAATAAGTGAAAAAGTAACAATTAATTACAGCTTGAGCAACTAATTACCTAGAAAGTTACAATGAAATTTCCGAAACTAAGGCCTTACTGCATTTTTTTTAGTAAGTTGCAACTTAGCTCCATTTCAGTTATTGCTCAAAATCACGTTAGCAAAAATAAATTCAGTGATTCAGCGTCAAGATTAACGCCACACGCTGTCATTGCCTTAAGCCCTGCCTCGATCGCCACAGGCCAGCAAATCACAGCACACCCTCAAGCAGTTGTGTATTTGACAAGTAATCAGGATCTTGCTTAGTTGTTGCAAGTACCTAGATGCATCCAACTACAGAGTGTTTCCGACCACCATTCGAGCAAAAAGAGAATCATAAATAAACCAATGAACCGAGTGCAATGACACTTTTCAGTGTCTTTAGGTCGTGCATTTATCGTATCTACTCAAATTTCAGAAGTGTTTTAATAAAGAAAAAAACAAAAAAACAAGTAGTTGTGAAAGTTTCATTTGTTGCTATGCACAGGGAAGAAAGTGGCAAGAAACATGTCATTGACAGCGCTATACTACTACTACTAATAATAATATTTATTCCGGCTCGAGGCAGTCGCAACGCCGCAGAAAGGCCAATGGCCCATACCATAGAGGTCTGCGACAGTGCAACATTAAACCAAAGAGCCTCTTTAAGATAAACACCCGAAAGCAGACCCAGCATGCTTGGGAGAAGAGCGTGTTGGTTTAAGTCGTGGATGAAGAAAGAATAAAACAATTAAAACAGGGACAACACAACCACATCTTTTTTGAAAGATGTGGTTGTGTTGTCCCCGTTTTAATTGTTTTATTCTTTTTTCATCCATGACAGACCCAGCAGATCCCGTGAGACAATAAACCAAGTAGCGTCTTTGAAATGAACAGCCGAAAGCAGATCCGGCAGATCCGAGCGTGTGGTACCACCTGCAAGTAGTGGCGTTAACAAGACAATATTTACAGTTCTCCTCCCTGTGCACGTGAAGAAAAAAAGTACTTTTAGGTTTCCGTGTCTCACCAGAACCCACACTCATGTCATTTGAGTATGACACCACCTAAAACACCTTTATAAACAGCTTTGACGCCTTCGTCGGTTTATTTATACAAATCTTTCTAAGCCCAAATAGCACTCAAACACAGCCTCCAGGTTATGTTTTTAAAAGACATAATGGGCATGCTTCTAACTGAAACTAAAGCAGTGTCTCACGCTGCTTTTCTACGGTTCATAGATGTCCCCAACCTACTTTACAAAGTCTATATACCGTCAAAACTCGATCTAGCAAAGTCAAGGGGAGCTGCGAATTACTTTGTTAAATCGGGAACTTTGTAAAATCAAGAAAGTCATTTTTCTGACATTTCATTCGGTAAATACAGTCTTAACACAGCAGCATCGTGAGAACTACCACGGTATCGATTTTACGTGTCCACGCACTGAAATTTTTAACAATTCATGGAAAAGTCCGCGAAGGGGTCACACTGGCGTCCTTTGATTTCAAGATTGTTGGAAGCTTGCTGGCTGGGATGCCATGCTCTGCGGCAACTTCACATTTCTTCCGTCTGATATCGTGCAAAAAATTCACAAATTTCGCTGCTTTAACATTGTGACTCCTCATCTCGTTATGTGTTGATGATATTTGAAACTTTTTCGTATGGCCTTCATACAAGTGTCTCTTATCGAAAAATAAATTGCTGCTCTAGTTTATATTTCAAATTATTTACAGCGCTTCAAACATATCCGAAATTGAAAAGTTTCGCAACTTCAATGTGCAATTAAAAAAAAAAAACATTTTTTCTTTTTAAAATTTGTAGGATTCACCCTCCTTTGCATACTCGTAATATTCCATTAAAAAAATATTGCATCGTTTTATCTTCGTCAAAAGTAGAGCCTCTGATTGCCAATTTTCACATAAGCGAAACCCTTGCACAGGGAAGTTGAGGATATTTAGACTTTGCAAGAGTGGGCAGTCAGCCCACAGTCATAAAAAGCATCTGCGATTCCGTTTTACTTTAAAGGGACACTGGACACTCCTAAAATAATTTTTAAGAAAGACGAAGAAAATAGACTGTGCTATGGACATTTTGATTTTTTTTAAGGATATGGCAAAAAATATACTTCAGCCCGGGAAAAGATTTTTAGCCCAATAATTTTGTCGCGAGATACGTTTTGAGTTGGGAACGATTCTGAAACACGTTTCCATTTTGGACGTCGACCCCGAAAACCAAGCGAGCTTCAGAATCGCTCAAATGAGTCTCCCAGGGTGAATACTAAGCTAAAATGTTTTTTTCTTTTTTTGGAGAAGTTTGTCTCGCAACCAGGTACTTAAAAAGAAAGGGGAAATTAGTACCAGTTTAAACGCGAGCATAGCGCAAGCTAAAAGAGTGAGCTCCGGGCTATCTATTCCCCCCTTTTGCGGCTGGGGGGCAGCGAGGAGAGACCTGATTTCTGGGCGGCCATCGGCTCGAGGTAGACCTCCGGGCGGATGCAGAGGGTGAGCTTGTTGAGCACCCTGAAGGTGGGCTTCACTTGCTTCTCGAAGTGGGCCCGGTCCACGGCCACCAGGGCCAGCTCCGTGATGCCCACCCGCTGGCCGGCCCTCGGCAGGCTCGTTGTCTCCAGGTCGAAGAACACCAGCGTCTGTACCGGCGTCGGCGGAGACGCCGCGGTTGTGATCGTCGTTTCCACTACAGAATCTGAAAACGAGATTTATTGTTTCGATTACGCGACGTGCCTCTGCATCGTGGGCACTCCATTCTTCCTAAAGCCACGGAAGGCTCCAGGGTCGCCCGACTCCACGACACTCGCTTGAACTGCTGAATGGAGCCTTTTCAAAAGCCAGCTTACCCACCCTGTGCAGAACGATAGCCTTAAGTCACCGGATCCTGAGAAAGTAGCGCCAAGTTCCCCGTGAGGTCGCCATTTCGGTCCACGGAATTAGCACTTTGTGCTTGACCTTTCTATTCTTGCTGAGCCGAATTTGCGGCGACAGGTCGCTTTATAAAAACAATGCCAGGATTTTGTTATCCACACACCGGCGAACCAAGTGCAAATCCGCGTACCGCCCCAACATGTGGCGCCGGTGCTTGGCGGCATTGAAAACTATATCCTTTTCTCGAAAAAGCGAGAAAAAATGATTAAAGAAAGATCCATCGGTGGATACTTAGAGAATGCGTTTGCACAACCTCTGGGAAACATCACATACGTCCCCCTTCGCGCTGATTTTTTCACTTTTCTGTTTTGGCTTTCTCTTTTGCACCCTCTATTTGGCTTTGTTACGTGGTCACTATTAGCGTTTCCTAAAGAGGGACGCGTGTAGCATTTCCAAACGGTCATGCTCATGCATTCTCTAAAGATCCACCAATGGATCTTCCTTTAATTTTTGTTAAAACAAACTGATCTTGTTCTTCTATTGCCACTGTTAGTGCAGAAATATTGCAACTTTTGAGACTGCTGCTAAATGGCTCTTAGTTCTGAAAAAGGTCTAGGAGTCAGCTGAACCTCATAATTGGGTATCCTGACGTAAAAAGTAAAAAGAAGTAGCAGCTACTTTTTCATTTATTGCCATATTTAAAGAGCTATAGTGTAAACCTGTTTGGAAGATACTAACAGTGGCTTTGGGGAATGAAAAAAAACATATTGCTATTAAAAGGAAGTTGAAGAGCTATTAGAAAAAAATGAGTTAATGGTTGATTTTGACGTGTTTGTGCCTGCTGAGTCTAAGTATCACAACCATTTGACACAAAATAATCACCAAATCCCAAAAAGATTGAAAAAAAACGGAACCGATCGCTGCAGCAGCACGCCATTGGCTGGTCGCGCATGATGCACCACTACGTTACGAAAGGACAATCTTGATTCTCGGTTGTACCGTCGCTCGTGAAAGTAGCCGGTACTTCTAGCTCTTGTAAATCGGGCTCGGCTTCCGATTTTTTTAGATCTTTCGGCGGATCCCGAAGGTGTCCAGAGTACCCTTTGCACGACGAAGTACCGGTTCCAGCTGTAGACAGAGCAGAAAAATGGCCCCCTCAGTGGTGCGAAGAGTCGTGAGGAGCCGCCTGTGCCAAAGCATAGCAACGCAGCATAGCCGCAACATAGCCTGCATTTTTCACTGACGGTATAGCAAAAGAGCCCTTCCTCGGGCAACAGGAGAGCTTCCCCCGAGACGAGGCCGTGTCGCCGTCTTGCCAGCATGATGTCCTTGTGTGTGTAAAGTTGGCCTCCCCCAGCAAACGGCTCATATGTAATGTCATTTGAAAACCCCAAAGGCCTTTAGCAAAGATGTCATTTCGGGTGCATGTCTGATTGCAGTATTAGACTACACGAGTAATTGCGACATAAAGGTAATGGATGAATAGCCAACTTGCCCAAGCCTCGATCTTAAAGAGCTGCTGACACCCCAAGGGTTGTATTTTTTTTATTGTCTAAAACGATGCAAGTTGTAGTCACAGACACGCAAAAAAAACGCATCGCAAAAGAACAAATTTCCCATGCATGCGCGCACACCTTTTTATTTTTGTTGCTTTCCTCTCCCGCTCTTCGCCTCCTCGCTGCTTTCGATTCGTGACGTCAAAAATCATAAAATTTAGAAGCTTTGTAGGCGACATTTCTATAACATTTAATAACGGCAATCGCAAAACATATTTCTAATTGCAATTGCGAACGCACTACGGCCCTTCTTTTTGAAATACCAAAAATCGAAGTCCGGTGTGATGTCGCCTTCTAGAATTGTATCCTCCCTCGGAAAACATGCTGCCTGGGCAGGAGGCACCGCCCCCTGCACAGAATAAAACCGGTTTTTCTCGGCCCACCGGCGCGCTCATCTCTTGCTCCTTTCCTCCTCGCATCAGGTCGCGATGGCAACAGCACGGAGTCGTGAAAGAAAGTCGACTCTCAGGACTCCGCAATATTTTATGTCAACGCACCAGTGCGGATCGCGCAAGAACTTCGAATTCGGCATTTGGAAATTGTTTTTTTTACTTCACAAATACTGAATTCCCAAGTTTTGAATATTGAGTGCAATGTCCCGGCATCATTTTCAAACGTTTCAAATAATAATAAAAAAAAAAAAAAAAAAAGATTTTTATGTGTTCTTTTAAGTAATAGCACCAAACGGCCATCTATGTTTGGTACCGACAATAAAGAAGTACACGTGAAATCCTTGTGACAGTGGCGAAAGCTTTCCGAGCCTGTATATTCAGATAGCTGTCTCAAGATTTGTTGGCTAAATTAGACCACCACCGTGCATTATCGTCTGTCCAATCACATTTTTACGGCAAAAAGAACCATTCCACGAAACACTAGATTATCCCAAACCAAGTATCTTCGCAGAGAATTACAGGAACTGGGCAACCTTCAAGTACTCGAATGAACCTTGTACGACTGTTGAATCATGAAAGTTACATTATGAATTGTACGCCCAGTTATTGCAACGAATGCCCTCCTCTTCAAAGTAACTAAATAGCAGAGTTGTTCAAAACAAACAAAAAAACAACTTGGGTAGCCAAAGTGGTCTGGGAAGTATGGTCACTTCAGCGAAACAGAAATAAACCAAAAGAAAAACAATAATATCAGACGGTTAGCAAAAAGCAGCCAGCATGTATCCCTTTGGCTACATGCTGGCAGTTTTTTTTCTTGTTTTTTCAGCACACGGCTTACAACTAATAGCTTAAGAGCTAAACTTTCTCTAGAACAGCCTACTGCTAATTCCTCCCTAGTTTCATCTCCTCTTTGCATGTGCCTTTGGATATGCTAAGGTGCCTCCTTACGTCCAAAGATGGTCGGGAGAACGTCGGGTTTAGACGAGCCTTCTTCACTGAAACCCATGCATTGGTTTCGTAATCGCCGTTTGAAACACGTTCAAACAGTACAGAGTGTGCTTGTTAGGTTCAAACTGCTCTGTTTGCATAGCGGGAACCCACAGCTCTGACATGTCGGTATCAGCGTGGAAGGGGTAGCAAGCGGAAGGAGCAACGGCGCCAAACTTGGCTTGTGAAACCGACGGCTATGCAGGAGTACAAGTAAGCCGCTTCAGTGCCACGAAAAATCCGCAAACCCGCGAACAAACAAGAAAACAATAAATAAGTCGGGCAATTGAATGAATAGCACGAGTGGTCAACGGATAAAAGCCAGCGCTATGTAACCGCAGAACGGCGACGGATGTGAACATGGGCATGAGCAGCCTACAAAAGAAGCGCGGACGGTTTTGGAAGGTCTGCAGGTCCCCCAACAGTCCTTTCGTGACATCGACCAACGGGCTCTCTCCCCTTTCTCACTACCTCGGAGGGGCGTGGTTTTAGCACTACTTTGAAGGCGATTTTCTCGCTAATCCACGCATAAGATGATCGAACAAATATGATATTCGTAATGGCTGGGGGCTAACTAACAAAGTGAAAGTGTTTTTTTTTTTTCCTCATATTTAAAACCGCTTCAGCTTTCCTTTCATTTCCCTGCTAACTTTAGTGGTGGCAGTGGCATCACGCGAGTGTCGGGTGATGCAACATCAATTTTCCCGTTAAATTCAGCACTTAAATTGATGCACCCCATGTCACACGACATTAAGCGACACAATGTCAACTTGCAAGCACCATCGTGACCCTATCCGACGTCCATCTCCGTTCAATTTAGCGGCAAAATGCACCAACAGATGGACGGGTGCAAGCATTTCTGTGAAGGTGGTTTCGTTAAAAAGCAACCCCACTTTCGAATGTGTCCAGTGGTGTGCTTCGTATGCTGTAAAGCCAGACAACTTGGCACCGACACATAGAAGTAAGCTCAAATTTTGACCGAACATGCCTTGAGGTGGTGGGTTTCACCCGTAAAATTTCGAGGCATAGTTTTCTCCTTGTAAAATATGAGACCAACAAAGTCGCCAAAGGTAAAGGTGGACGTATTCACAGACGACCAAGTTAGCAATGACCGTACCCCGTAGTGCCACCTTCACGATAGGTGCCGCGAGAGGACAACAAAGCGCATCGTCTGCTCACTATGCCCTTAGGGAAATGGCACAAGTTAGATTTATTGACAAGCATTGAGACCAGAAGGCTAGTGGGACGATGACACCGGGCAGGAACCTCGACCAACTTGGGAGACGTGTCAACTGTGCCCAAAAGGGAGGAAAGACGGGGGGACTGTCTGGGAAGGGGCGGCGTGCGTTCACCCGTCTCCATTGGCATAGCAGCAAGTGCCCAAGGTTGCACTTCTAGCAATGTACATGCCAAGGAGACAAAAGAGAATTGAGCCCCCACAAGTTCTAACAAGGTACACTGCGTGTGGGGAGGAAAGCGGAAAACTTTCAAACACAAAAGGACCTTTCTTGATTGCTCTCGTCCCCAGCATGTGGTTCCAATGTATGGGTGGCGAAAAAAGAATGAAACACTTCAACCCGGAGAAAGGTAAAGTGCTTTGATCACGTCGATGGTGCTTGAAGGGAGATGCAAACAGTTGACACTGTAAGCATGGGCATCTCTAACCCCGTGTGCAGATGTGCCGTCTATATCGGTAGGAGACCCACTCGGACCGTACGACTGATGCTGCAGCTGTGTTTGAGGGAGGGAATCTGAAGGAAGGCGTTTTATCAGTGTGCGCCGATTCATTCGGCTGCATTACCTACTTTCAGTCCCCCCTCCAGCCACCGTCTTGGCCATGCAATTCGCGTGAAATCACTCTTATATATATGAGTAATGGCATACGCATGATGTTGTGCACCGCGACCGGAAATGACTACCAGGGTGTCTAGCAAATTACTGTTTTGAAATTCCCTGACTTTTCCAGGTTTTCTTTGACAATTTCAGGTTAAAATCCCTGACCACTCTAGAGGCGGTTAAATATATAAGACGATTACAACACAAGGTATTGAGCATTGAGCACAGTGAGAATCATTTTGCACGGGCTTAATCCAACTTGCCTATTCCGAAATATTCGGGTTCGTCCAGTCCGGATTAAACGAGCGCTTTCATGTCGCCGACATCGTCAGTGAAGAGGCCACTTCCGGAAACACGATGAAAACACGACGCTCAACCACACACGTCAATAACCGAATGACAACATGGCCGCAAGATGCACTTTCGGATACTTTCGGCTTGGATTGGATTGGGGTCTACGGCTTTTCCATTTGTTACTAAACCTAGTAGCTCTAACTGGATTTAGCCTAGCGTAGCGCCCTCAATCCAACCCAGTCCAATCCAATGCATAGCTTGGACTGGATTTGTCGACTGTTCTCTTTGCATCGGGTAGCACAACCTACATCGGGTGAGCAAAGCCCGCGCTCCGCTCTAAGCAGCCCCAAATCCACAAGTCCTCGCTCAGGGCACTTGATGGCGTTTCCAACTCATTTTCCCTGACTGGGTTCGCTTTTTGGCGATTTCCCTGACAATTCCCCGATTTTTCAAGGTAATGAAAATTTCCCTGCAAATTCCCGGTTTTCTCAGTTACTAGACACCCTGGACTACACGCATGGCGCAAAACTTTTTTGTCTGGCCTAGCTTATGACAGGGTAGGATTTTACGTCTCGCCTGGTTTACAGCATGTTTACCCAAGCTTTGGGCTCGGGTAAACACGCATCAGTGAATAGCGCACCAGCTTTCAGCGACTTCCAGATTTGATTACGCGCTTAGTAAAAAATACCGTATGTAAAACGGACTGTGAAAGCCATAATTTAGTTCTGTGGCAACGTGCCCACTTCACAAGCAGGGGACCCAGAAGCGGATACTACGGGTGGCGAAATTCTTTTTCAAACATTTGGCGATATTGACGACAGACACCCTACTGCGGACAACATATTTCTTTTATAGGTATTACTGCAAAAAGATTTCCTATCATCGCAGGATGACAGGAACTCAAAATCCACCACTAGATGAACTAAATGGAGCAAGCTCTCTGAGTCGTGCGTATAGGCATTTCCGGTCAAGGTGCACAACATTGTGTGTATACCATAGAATACTGCGCATCTGTCCGTTAAGCGCCCATTCCCAAATTCGTAAAATTGATGACCGGACAAGCGCCCATCCCCCATTTCCTCGCGGTTATTTTTAAATTTTGAGTGGGCGCTTGCCCGGTATTTTACGGTAGACCCTTTTACAGTTCACAAACATGAACCGCCACTTGCGTCCCAAGCAGTTCCAGTTGCACTGTTTTTGCAGGCCTGTTGAGCTTGCTTATGTCATCAGTGCTAGAAAGCATAAATGCTAAACGAACAATAAAGTTGGAGATTAAGCGAGGGCCTTTGGATGTATGATCTAATGTCTTGGAGGAGACAAGTTTGTTTTTGAGAATATTGGAAAACTTTTAACAGATATTGTGCTTCTTGGTTTTTTTTTGTTTTTTTTTTGCATTTGCCTGGAGATTTGGTGGTTAAATGTTCCATAGACGTTTCGATCAGCCATGTTAAGGTGGGCTTTGTCCATTATTTTTATCAACTGGAAGTTTGCTAGGATGTGAAAGACTGAAGCACAGGCTGATGGAGCTTGCCTAACAATAGACTTGTCGGCTCAGTGGTGACTTTTACACATGCTGGAGTACAGTGTTTTCAAAACTACCAGAAGAAAGTTTGAAAGAGGTTTATAGGCTAGTCTGTCTTGATGCAGCCCGAAGCATTTATTGCTAGATAAATTCGTAAATGCACGAGAGGTTCTGCATTATTGATCGGTGCTTTACACAATTCAGCCTACCAGTGCAACTTGTACGGGTTCATCTCGAAGAGTGGGTGAGCTCTTGTGTGGATGCCATTCGGAGCTGTTGCCAGTTTTCCCTTGTCTCTTTCAACATTAGCAATATGTGCCTCCGCTGCTGATCGGAAGCTGGCCCCGTAGTATAAGCTACCACGTCGCAATATTGGTTCACACTGTCCAATTTACTCTACAGAAACTTCCCGAGCAAAAAGAACCATGTTTTTCAGCCCGGATAAACTATCGTAATAAAATATTCATAGGTTTACTTTCTATCATTGATGGTGAGGGCCGACGGAAGAAGCTGCTAAGTGGCAGCTTGACAAGCCCTCGGCCCCCGTACATTGGCAGACAGTGGAGGCAAAACTCATGAGATAAAGGTTGCTGAAATCAGCTTGTCATAAATACACATGAGGGGGACGCACGGGCCCATAACCCACAAGTACGCTTTGAGGCACGGAAAGATGCGAGAACACATTCGAAAAAAATATGCGCGAATTACACGAATGCGAAAAAACATAAAAAGGGTTTCTACAGTCACAACCAGAAAACAAGCGAACATAAGCACAAAGAATTTACGAAGGTGAGGGCCAGGTCACTCGCCATGTACAATAAAATTCACAAGTGAAGCTTACACATAACAATAAATCAGATATAATTACTAACGCATATATTGATATCATTTGCAAGTCAGGTGGGAAAAAAACCCTAAATAGAAAACAAAGGACATCAAAAATGAAAAATAAAAAAAATAAAGCGCGCCAATAATGAGCCTTATTTTTTGAGCATTCTGCTCGAACTCCGGGAGAATGTGAAGCTAGCGGTTGGAATAGAACGCGAAAGCAGCGACAGTTTGACAGTGGTTCGTGCGAGCGCGAGCACTTCTTTCGAAATTGCTTTGCTCCGATCGAACGAGCGCTCGCGCCTTGGAAGCATATCGGAATATAATAGTTAAAAAGGGTATTACAAAAACCAACTGTGGTTAAAAGTGTTCATTCGGGACACCGATTATCGCAAGCGGTAAGATTTATTGCTCGTCGATACTGTGTTTACGTAAATATGAAAAATAAAGCGCCGATGGCTCCGATTGTCAGAATTCGCCTAGCATTCGTCAAAAGCATCAGCTATGGTGCTTCAATACGCAGAATACGACCACGCATCAAAGCGATAGAATTTAAAATGTGTCAATTTGGACGCTCAATACGGAAACATTGGCCGACGACATCAGAACCGGCCGCCCTGTAGAGAAAGCAACGGTATCTGCATCCGACTTCGCGAAAGCGTGCCAGTGCTGTATTCAGTGGACCGAATACTTGGTACGAAATGTCCCAATAAAGAAAATAAAGGTACACGTACCAATCAGGAAATCCATTTCCCCTTTTGGTTCACTTCAGACGGAGTGTTCTCTGGAGCTCTCGCGTGATCTGGATATTTTGGCGCCAACAGCCAACAACTCGAGTTTGCGCGGGAATCATTGTAGGGAGACTCGTTCATGCTTCCGCTGTTTCGGTGAACGCGTGACTTTACTTTTTATAACAAGAAACGTTTAGTTATATGATACAAAAAAAAGCTATTTAAATTACGTATTACAAAATAGGCAGTCATAAAGCGTAGGAAACATGAGCGTACACTCCGCTCATGTTTTGTGGCATTTTGTGATGACGAAAACGAAATCGAAACGTGAACGCAGTCGCGGGGTGCCACTGGGTGCAACGTTGTTTCTGCTAGCCCGATTATTACATTATTGAGCTTTTATATTTTAATTTCATGCATATCACATTTTAACGGCAGTAACGTTGTGTGTACTGCTGTAGTGTGCCGCAAAGGACCGCTTGCCCTAATTTCATGATTGGAAAGTTATACTGTCGGGCTGTTAGGAAGAATATTCGGGGACAAACTGCGGGAGTTCTACATATAAATCCCCTCCCCCCCACTTCGTTCCCAAGCCCCCACTCGTTCCCGAACCCCCACTCGTCCCCAAAAGTAAAGCTCCTAAAAAACTCATAAACATCGAAAGTTGCAGACAGATTACTTATAGTTCTTAGAAAACGGCCTTCAGTGCGTTTACGTCCAAACTTGTAGGTGACCAGCCCTGCGGAATTAAGGGACGACTCATAGAAACCAATATACACGTAGCACGTACGGTGATAGAAACGTGTAGTCTTCACGCTGATCAAGTTGCAATGGCGCAAGTAGACTTTGCGAAAGCATTCGATCGTGTGACCCAAGCTCGCCAAGGTTTTATTTGCACATGACATATTTAGGGTGACCACCCGTCCCGCGACTTGCGGGACTGTCCCGCATCGAGGGCTCGTGTCCCGCGTCCCGCGAGAAATTCACAAATCTTCAAAATGTCTCGCATTTCAGTCGTAAAATTCACTCCGCAACTCGTAATAATGCGTGTATATTTATTTTACCTTGTTTGTGCAATTATTGTATTAAACTTAACCATGCAGCCCCCCCCCCCCCCCCCCCCCCCCCTTTATGTAATTCTCTCACGAGGACCTTTAAGGGTATATGAATAAAGGGTGCTGCCGAGCAATGGGGCACGGGGATCGCGGAGGTCGCTGGTAATCGTATGAACCGCGATGGTACGCCATTTTCTATCCAAGCATTGCGGGAAGCGACTGTCGTTCTTGCAGGAGATCCGACGTGCATTCTCTGTTGTGCCTCTCCCCTTGGTGGAAAAATATTGTAAAAAAAAATTGCTCGCCAAAAGTTTAAATATAAAATATTGTAATTATTTTTTTAAATCGCTGTATCAATGCGAAAGGGTTGCTGTGAATTTTGTTTTTAATGAAGACAGTCACACAAGGCAAGAGGCCTGCAACTCACAACGGTCGAAAAAGAACATGATGTTAAAAATTTGTGTATGACCATCTTGATAAAAGTAAGCGTTGCCAGAAAACAATAACCCGAGAAATATTTACTGTTTCTTATTTCCATTTGATGGATTGAGTTCTGCCACAGTCGATTTTAATCGCTGGGAGTGAAAATTGTTTGAACTTAATTGCTGCAATACAATTAGCAGGTGTATAAACAGCACAGGATATTCAATAACAGGGCGTCGGTTCGTGGTGTGCGTGTTACTAAATTTCCTCCACGCCCCTGCCCCATCTGTCCCGCCTTTCGCTAGCAGGAAGGTGGTCACCCTAGACATATTGGGGCCCAACTACCCAGAACACAATTTTTGGCTCAAAATTCGTTTTCTTCCCTCCCGCAAAACGCCGATCTAGAACTGGCCGGTTTGAGTCGCGCTCACTCTCTCCTCCGTAGTCTCATGCCGTTTTCTATGGTCCGTCTAGACGCAATCGCAAAGACAATCAAAGTCGTGGGTTAACGAAGGCAGACTAAATACTAGAAATGGACGAAAATATAATACCTATTTTTTTGTGGATTCTAAAAAATCGCAGATACGTTAATTTAAGAAAAAATTAAAAAAAAAACACAGACAACGGGATTTTCGGGTATCGTTACCCGTCTCTATATTTCTTCTTCCACTCCTGTCCAGTTTCGGTTTCGGTTATGAGCAGTTGCGTTTTTTTTTAAACTTTATTTAAAATATACGTGACACTGTAGCAAAATATTGATTGTGCAGTCTTCTGACAGCATAATAAATCGCCTAGCAAAAATAAAAAAAAATATTTTTAGACACGGAAAATTTTTAAGTGTTCTTTTTTCCGGTTTCGGGAATATTTTAACGAGTAACGTAACTATGTTAGCTGTTACTGAAAATAAGTAACGTAAGCACGTTACCCGCTACTGTTTTCAAAAAGCAATGAGAAAAAAGTAACGTTTTACCGGTAACGACCTTACTTGTAACGCGTTACCGCCAACCAACGTTACTAAAACACTCAGTTGGGAAACTCGCCGTCGAAACCCGGGCCGCTGGCGTCCACCGAGACCGAGCTAAATGCGACAAGAGCGCCACTTTTTATCGTTTGTCTGTACTGTGGTCCCCTTGAGCTTTTTGAAAGCCTGTTTTTGCGTAAAAACAAACGGAAAAGACTCTTTTTGTATGGAATTTATTGGAGTTTAGTACCAAATGATGGGCGCGTGATGTTTTTATCATCTTTAGTTCGCAAGGTTTTGCGGAACAATTAATATTGTTTTTATACAACCATGCCTCAACGGGCCTTTCAGGTAGCACGTCCTGACCTAGGTGCATTTTAACGTCAATAGTTGAACGCGGCGCGTCCGCCGGGGAAACGGGGGTGGCACTCTACCGCTGTATCTGTTCTTAAGCCAAAATAGAAGTCACGTGCAGTTCTTCGAGAGGCCGCTGCGGAAGTAATGGTGGCGTTGTGTTCGTCATTAGCTCGGTGCTCGGAGACAGATTGGGGTCACTTTTTCAAAGCTGTCTCCATGGGAGTTTCTCAACTGAGTGTTTTAGTAACGTTGCCGCCAACACTGGCAGAAAGTCATTCACATGCTCATAGCGAGTTCGTTTCACACGCACTGGCACCGTTCGGGTTCTCCGTGAGTTCTCCCCCAGAGTGCATCGCACTCGCACAGTGTTGCACTACAGTGGCTATGGTGCCTAGAGCGCGTCTCCGACTAGTGTGTTTAGCGTCCTATCCCACCCATACACCAAAAGTGGTCCCCAAGTGGCAACAAATGACGTCACAGGAGCCGGAGTGTCATGCTGTTGCCTGTCGCGATCCTGGCGGTTGGCCGTAGAAATGCTGGCGAAAGGCACTACACTCTGTTTCACCTTCAGTCCGAGCGCAGCGGACGCGAACCACCATTCCAGTGTTGAGAGAGTGTCATGTGACCTTGAGCTCCCTGTGTCGCTCTGCCCAACCGGTAGGTCACGTGATTTTGTCCGGGCGCTGGATCGGCTAAGATAACTCGTGGTGTCCACTGCGCTCGGACTGAAGGTGGAACGGAGTATAGCGAACGCGAGTGTCGCTGTTGTCACGGCGTCCCTAGAGTTCCTGTATATGCTACCTAGGGTAGCAGAGTTGCGCATTCAGCCTCGGCGCGTGGCCGTAGAGCCGGCTCTCCCGCACGAGATGGATGCTTTGTTCCTCACGTGACTAAATTTGGCGAATAGCGGCGCCGCGCGCGCCGCCGCGCATGGAAAACAGGAGAGGAGGAAAAGGAGGCGGAAAGCAGGGAAACATACGCCGGGGCACAAGACGTCTGCGCGTTGTTTGGCAATGCAAGACCATCACTGCAACACGCCAAGAGGATGTGCAGGATTTTGCGGTCTGAGATGTGGCGACAGGTCCGGTTTTATCGGTCCTGTCTCAGCGCCCTTGCCGGCATCGGCATCCCCAATGATGGACACGTCACCAGACACAGGTTCTTCCTGACTACAGCCAGCCAAAAGACTGAATTCCTTTGGGGCTCTTACATCCCTCATCTAAAATACCTACGTTCATCTAGGACGCAGCGGAAAGGCGAGTCTGTTACGCTCTTAGGCTGCGAGCCCCTTCCGGATGATATACGAGGTGTTCTTGAAAAAGGACCGACATTTTGTACTGAGCCCCAACAGCAAGGAATACATATGGTGTCAAACGTCCATGATATCGCTTCTAAAGCTCAGGAAGAAAACCGACAGAGTTGCGTTTCTGACTGTATGGAAATACTACTAAAAGCTGGCCCTCAAAGCGACAGGAAGATACATTTCACTCGTATAGTCGATCACTTTCGAGAAAGAAATTTAAATCTTCTAATATCGGACAAGGAAGGGGGTTTTGTTGTGACGACCAGAGAGATTTACCTTGATAAAGCCCAGTTCTCCATAAACAAGAATTTTAATTGCTTGGAGAGGTTCAATCCAAAAAAAGTGAAGGCAAAAGCACTCCAGCTGTGCAGCAGGCTAGATCTAAGCCAATTGAGAAAACAGATAAACACTGCTAAAAGTGATCAATTGGAAATGTTTTTCACCGCCAAAACTCACAAAGAGGGTTGCCCTTTTCGTGTAATAGTAACTGAACGAGGATCTTGGCAGGGAGCTATGTCCCAATTTCTTTTACGCCACCTGAACAGCCTCAACATCTATGACCCTTTTCTAATTCCAAACTCAGAATCTCTGATAGACTACCTTAAATCAAGTGCTTCAACAGTAAAGTTTGGACTCTCCCTTGATGTGGAGGACTTGTTCTACTCGGTCCCTCACGCAAGAATGTTTGAAGCAGTCAGCGATTGCATAGAGGCTAATGGAACTGTGTCATTTCAAAATCAATGTGGCATACCATCCGAATCTTTCATGGAACTCCTTAGGTTCTACCTCACATCTACCGTTGTAACTTTTAGCGGCAGTACTTACATCCAAAAGAAAGGGATTTGCATTGGCTCCTGTGTAGCACCTGTCTTATGCGACATTTTTCTTTCCACCTGTGACAGGGCAATAGCCCAGAGCCTTCCCACAAACCTTGTAACACGTATCTTTAGATACGTCGATGACTATCTCGTTTTACTTTCCATCGGACCTGACCAATATGATTGTGCTACATTCAACATCATAAGCAACACTTTCA